GGTGTAGTTAACGCAAAGTCGTGACATCTGGTTTTGTCAAATAAAAACCAACATTGTCTCAACGGTTTTACATTAAACCCAATGACGGCAAGAATTTTTTTTTTCGAAATCATGTAAACTTAGCCCATATTCACTCTGTAAATCTGGAAACATAGTGAAGAATAGGGGGGTATAGCTCACTGGTAGAGCATTTGACTGCAGATCAAGAGGTCTCTGGTTCAACTCCAGATGCCCCCTCTTTCTTGTGTAGAGGCTTTAAGAATGTATAAAGTACTAATGTTTCTCAAAAGCAAGTTGCTTTCTACTGGTCTCAACATTGTAATGGTATCTGGTATTGTCAGATAAAAAATTCAGTATTATCTTGACAATTTTATGTTAAACCTCTGCAGTAGACAATTTAACTGCGGATAAACAGGTCTCGGGTCAAAACCAGGTGCCCCCTTGTTGCTGTCTAGGGCATTTCAGCGTCGATAAAGTACTACAGCTTCTCAAAAGGAAGTTTTTCTTTGTACTGGTGTAGTTAACGCAAAGTCGTGACATCTGGTTTTGTCAAATAAAAATCAACATTGTCTCAACGGTTTTACATTAAACCCAATGACGGCAAGAATTTTTTTTTCGAAATCATGCAAACTTAGGCTGTATTCACGCTGTAAATCTGGAAATATCATGAAAAATGGGGGGTATAGCTCAGTGGTAGAGCATTTGACTGCAGATCAAGAGGTCTCTGGTTCAACTCCAGATGCCCCCTCTTTCTTGTGTAGAGGCTTTAAGAATGTATAAAGAACTAATGTTTCTCAAAAGCAAGTCGCTTTCTACTGGTCTCATCAATATAATAGTATCTGATGTTGTCAGATAAAAAATCAGTATTGTCTTTTTCGGTTTTATGTTAAAACTCACCGGTAGAGAATTTAACTGCAGATAAACAGGTCTCGGGTCAACTCCAGGTGCCCCCTTGTTGCTGTCTAGAGCATTTCAGCGTCGATAAAGTACTACAGCTTCTCAAAAGGAAGTTTTTCTTTGTACTGGTGTAGTTAACGCAAAGTTGTGACATCTGGTTTTGTCAAATAAAAATCAACATTGTCTCAACGGTTTTACATTAAACCCAATGACGGCAAGAATTTTAGTTTTTTTTTTCGAAATCATGCAAACTTAGCCCATATTCACGCTGTAAATCTGGAAATATCTTGAAAAATGGGGGGTATAGCTCACTGGTAGAGCATTTGACTGCAGATCAAGAGGTCTCTGGTTCAACTCCAGATGCCCCCTCTCTCTTGTCTAGAGGCTTTAAGTGTGTATAAAGTACTAATGATTCTCAAAAGGAAGTTGCTTTCTACTGGTCTCATCATTGTAATGGTATCTGGTTTTGTCAGATAAAAAAATCAGTATTGTCTTTTTCGGTTTTATGTTAAAACTCACCGGTAGAGCATTTGACTCCAGATAAAGAGGTCTTGGGTCAACTCCAGCGTTTATAAAGTACTACAGCTTCTCAAGAGCAAGTTTGCTTTGTTCTGCTCTGATTAACGCAAAGTAATGAAATCCCGTTTTATTAGATAAAAATTCAGTATTGTCTTGACGGTTGTATGTTAAACCTCTGCAGTAGACAATTTAACTGCGGATAAACAGGTCTCGGGTCAAAACCAGGTGCCCCCTTGTTGCTGTCTAGGGCATTTCAGCGTCGATAAAGTACTACAGCTTCTCAAAAGGAAGTTTTTCTTTGTACTGGTGTAGTTAACGCAAAGTTGTGACATCTGGTTTTGTCAAATAAAAATCAACATTGTCTCAACGGTTTTACATTAAACCCAATGACGGCAAGAATTTTTTTTTTCGAAATCATGTAAACTTAGCCCATATTCACTGTAAATCTGGAAATATAGTGAAGAATAGGGGGGTATAGCTCAGTGGTAGAGCATTTGACTGCAGATCAAGAGGTCTCTGGTTCAACTCCAGATGCCCCCTCTTTCTTGTCTAGAGGCTTTAAGTGTGTATAAAGTAATAATGATTCTCAAAAGGAAGTTGCTTTCTACTGGTCTCATCATTGTTACTGTCTAGAGCAGGGGTGCTCAAGTCCAGTCCTCAAGAGCTACCATACTATAACTTTTAGATGCATCTCTTTTCTAACACACCTGAATCTAAAGGCTCAATCCCCTCATTTAGCTCAGCAGAGGCATGGTAACGAGCCACTCATTTGATTCAGGTGTGTTAAAAATGGTTGCATCAAATAGTTGCAGGATAGTAGCTCTTGAGGACTGGACTTGAGCACCCCTGGTCTAGAGCATTAGAGCGTCGATAAAGTACTACAGCTTCTCAAAAGGAAGTTTTTCTTTGTACTGGTGTAGTTAACGTTTTAGTTAGTGTAGTTAAAGTTTTGTCAAATAAAAACCAACATTGTCTCAACGGTTTTACATTAAACCCAATGACGGCAAGAATTTTTTTTGAAATCATGCAACTTTAGGCGGTATTCACTCTGTAAATCTGGAAATATGTTGCAAAGGGGGGGTATAGCTCAGTGGTAGAGCATTTGACTGCAGATCAAGAGGTCTCTGGTTCAACTCCAGATGTCCCCTCTTTCTTGTCTAGAGGCTTTAAGTGTGTATATAGTACTAATGCTTCTCAAAAGCAAGTTGCTTTCTACTGGTCTCAACATTGTAATGGTATCTGGTACTGTCAGATAAAAAAATCTGTATTGGCTTGATGGTTTTATGTTAAACCTCACCGGTAGAGCATTTGGCTGCAGATCAAGAGGTATTGGGACAACTCCAGTGTGAATAAAGTACTACAGCTTCTCAAAAGCTAGTTTGCTATGTACTGGTCTCATTAACGCATTTTAATGATATCTGGTTTTGTCAGATAAAAATTCAGTATGGTCTTGACAGTTTTATGTTAAACCTCAGAGGTAGAGAATTTAACTGCAGATAAAGAGGTCTCAGGTCAACTCCAGGTGCCCGCTTATTGCTGTCTAGAGCATTTTAGTGTTGATAAAGTACTACAGCTTCTCAAAAGGAAGTTTTTCTTTGTACTGGTGTAGTTAACGCAAAGTCGGGACATGTGGTTTTGTCAAATAAAAACCAACATTGTCTCAACGGTTTTACATTAAACCCAATGACGGCAAGAATTTTTTTCGAAATCATGCAAACTTAGGCGGTATTCACTCTGTATATCTGGAAATATCTTGAAAAATGGGGGGTATAGCTCAGTGGTAGAGCATTTGACTGCAGATCAAGAGGTCTCTGGTTCAACTCCAGATGCCCCCTCTTTCTTGTCTAGAGGCTTTAAGTGTGTATAAAGTACTAATGCTTCTCAAAAGGAAGTTGCTTTCTACTGGTCTCATCATTGTCACTGTCTAGAGCATTAGAGCGTCGATAAAGTACTACAGCTTCTCAAAAGGAAGTTTTTCTTTGTACTGGTGTAGTTAAGTCGTGACATGTGGTTTTGTCAAATAAAAACCAACATTGTCTCTACGGTTTTACATTAAACCCAATGACTGCAAGAATTTTTTTCGAAATCATGCAACTTTAGGCGGTATTCACTCTGTAAATCTGGAAATATGTTGCAATGGGGGGGTATAGCTCAGTGGTAGAGCATTTGACTGCAGATCAAGAGGTCTCTGGTTCAACTCCAGATGTCCCCTCTTTCTTGTCTAGAGGCTTTAAGTGTGTATATAGTACTAATGCTTCTCAAAAGCAAGTTGCTTTCTACTGGTCTCAACATTGTAATGGTATCTGGTACTGTCAGATAAAAAAATCTGTATTGGCTTGATGGTTTTATGTTAAACCTCACCGGTAGAGCATTTGGCTGCAGATCAAGAGGTATTGGGACAACTCCAGTGTGAATAAAGTACTACAGCTTCTCAAAAGCTAGTTTGCTATGTACTGGTCTCATTAACGCATTTTAATGATATCTGGTTTTGTCAGATAAAAATTCAGTATGGTCTTGACAGTTTTATGTTAAACCTCAGAGGTAGAGAATTTAACTGCAGATAAAGAGGTCTCAGGTCAACTCCAGGTGCCCGCTTATTGCTGTCTAGAGCATTTTAGTGTTGATAAAGTACTACAGCTTCTCAAAAGGAAGTTTTTCTTTGTACTGGTGTAGTTAACGCAAAGTCGGGACATGTGGTTTTGTCAAATAAAAACCAACATTGTCTCAACGGTTTTACATTAAACCCAATGACGGCAAGAATTTTTTTCGAAATCATGCAAACTTAGGCGGTATTCACTCTGTATATCTGGAAATATCTTGAAAAATGGGGGGTGTAGCTCAGTGGTAGAGCATTTGACTGCAGATCAAGAGGTCTCTGGTTCAACTCCAGATGCCCCCTCTTTCTTGTCTAGAGGCTTTAAGTGTGTATAAAGTACTAATGCTTCTCAAAAGGAAGTTGCTTTCTACTGGTCTCATCATTGTTACTGTCTAGAGCATTAGAGCGTCGATAAAGTACTACAGCTTCTCAAAAGGAAGTTTTTCTTTGTACTGGTGTAGTTAAGTCGTGACATGTGGTTTTGTCAAATAAAAACCAACATTGTCTCTACGGTTTTACATTAAACCCAATGACGGCAAGAATTTTTTTCGAAATCATGCAACTTTAGGCGGTATTCACTCTGTAAATCTGGAAATATGTTGCAGAGTATAGCTCAGTGGTAGAGCATTTGAGTCCAGTTTAAGTCCAGTTGCCCCCTCATTACTGCCTTGAGGCCTTTAGCGACTATTAAATGGTCTACCTTCTGAAAAAGAAGTGTGCTTTGTACTGGTCTGATTAAGGCAATTGCCACCTGGTTTTGTCAGGTTAACCTTCAACATTGTCTCTGTGTAAATATTGAATTTTGACTTTAGGAGTATAGCTCAATGGTAATGCATTTGACCAGTGTTTAATGGGAGATCAAGAGATTAGAGGGTTAACTCTGGTTGCCTCCTGATTTTCAGCTGCCATTATATGTCCACATCTACATTGTTCATTTTTTGTTTTTTCTTTTTTATTCAATATTCTCCTACCTTAAGTTTCCTAATATCAATTTGCATTTCCATTATTTTCTTACTGGTAAATAAGAAATAAAAAACACATCACTTCTTACCACTGTGCGATACTGAAGGGTCATGGCTGAAGCTATGCTTGCTTGTCTGTAGAGCTGCAGGCTGAGCCTCGTGGTCATAACAGTAACAACTGGGAGTCTATGTCCAACGGAAAAGAACACAACACCTCGCGGGTTGTCGCTCTCCACAAAGGTGATGTTGGCGTAGCGTGTTGTCTCATTGATAGAGGCTCCAGCTCCCACTTTATAAATCTCAACCAAGAACCATGCCTGGTATTCAGGTTCCTAGAACCGAACATATGTTTGTTTATTTAGGAATACACACCCCTTTATTAAAAGCTTAGGGTGTTTCTTTCTTTTACCTCATCATCCAGAACTTCAAGAATGAGAGCACATTGGGTCTCTCCTCTCCGACAGATCACTGCCCCTGAGGTCTGTACAAGCTGGGAGGTTAGGTTGACTCCATTTTCAAGAAGACTTAAGCTTTCCTTACTGAAAGTAGCTCTCCAGAAGACCTGTAAATCTTCAAAAGCTCTGAGCGACGAGAGAAAGCAAAGGGCTCATTGTGAACATGAAAACATTTACTGTGAAGGTGGTCATCCATGTGTGGTTACAAATTTTCACCATCTAATAATTTTTTGTCACCTGTTTTCCTGTCTTTGGAGGTAGAGCAAAGTGGTTCTGTTCTCTGAATCTTCGTCCAGAACTTGGCCCCTCAGGGAGCCAAGAGTAAAGCCTACGATACCGTTATGAAGGTCGCTCCCTGATGTTGCAAAGAGAGGGCATCAAACATAGAGTCATATTAAAGGGAACAACAGACAATATTCAATATTGTGTAACCATGAGTGTAGATTATAAAAGATGTTGACTTTATAATGAAATGTCTTCTGCAGTGATCACAAATAAAGCATCAGTGGGCTGTTTTCAATTTCACCTACAGACAAGTCTGGCAGTAATGAAAATACACTGGAAGCCAAAAATATGATGTCATGCAGATCGGTGATCTACATGTCATTGTAAAAAATTTTAATAGTTAATAGCCTATTAATGAATATGAAATGGATGGGAGCTCATTTTCTGGAACATGTAATGGTCACTTACCTTAGCTTGTCACACCTTGCCGATTTAGTCAGCATATGCCCGACGTCCCAGAATCTCCTAAAACGTTGGCATAAGCTGAACTTTGTATATATTTTTTTTTCAATTTTGGGTGTATACATAGTGTATTCATAAGGAGTCCAGAACTTATGTACAATGACAGAAGGGAGCAGCTTCCCAGAGGAAGCATCGAAAAGGAAGCAAAAAAAGAAAAAATGTTTGCAGTCGCAGCAGATTCGGAGTCATGTTTGCTAGGAAGAGTGTTGATCCAGGCCATGGGCGTGAATGCAGGGAGGATCAATCATACTCACCTTCTCGCTTACCCTATGATTGGGATGGATTCTGGAGGACTACTGATGGTTTCCTCCTGTGAACCCTCTATAATACCAAAATGCTTCCAATATGCCATTAAACAGTAGCTTTAAATTAGAAACACATCCAGCAGTCTTCTGTAACATGTCAGACATGTTCATATGCATTGGAGATAAGTTCATGATAACTTACGCATAAGTTATGCACACGTTTCTCATAGGTTTTGGATAAGCTAGACACTACGACTTATGACTATCTTACACTTAACATATGTCAACAATCAGATAACTTATCTGTAACATCGTCAGTAAGTACGTTGGAATATTTTCAGCATGCTGAAAATTTCTCAACGTACTTGCCATATGTCGAACTGTGCCAACGTGTTTCAGCGTGCTCATAACTTACTGCTAAACATAACCATAACTTATCCAACATATGCCAGCATTTTTGACAGATTTTCCGTACATCAGGCATATGCCAGCTAAATCGTCAAGGTGTAAAAGGGGCTTACGTAGCTTAAAAGGGATAATTTATCCTAGCCAGGAAACAGGGCATTGGAATAATGCAAACACAAATGGACTTTAGGACAATTTTATGATTTACCAAGGATCACAATCTTTACAAATGATCCAAAGCCCTGGGAAGGGCTGTCTGTGATCTGAGCTCCTCCTTGTGGATCACTGAGGTAGATGAAGAACACTTCCTGTCCCTCTGGCTCAGAGTCATCCAGTATGGTGAGGGCAAACTCGGCCTCTTCTTTTCCGGCCTGCAGAGACACCACAGTGGACTCCAAAGAGAAGTCCTCCTCTTCCTTTGCGAGAGTACTGGATGGCTCCAGGGTGAAGGGAGGACTTTCTGTACTTCCATCTGAGGTACGTAACACAACAGCATAAGTTTGAGGTAAATTACAGACTAAATAGGGGTAAATAATTCCCCGTGAGAAGAAAACAGACCTCCGTATGCCAGGAGCTTGACATTCACAGTATCTGCAACACTGCCTGACCTGCGTACTCTTAGTACAACTCTCCGTTCCTGCTGACTTGCCTCATCTCTGTCCTCTTCCACTTGTACAAGTTCAGGGCCAATGCTCAAAACTCCACCAGTTGCATCACTGGCTTGTATGGTGACAGTGGCCACTCTGTGCTGTGGGTTAAGGCGAGGGGGTGCCTCTGCCCAGGTTAGACTTGGTCTGATGACCTCAACATGTGTTAGGTTGACAAAAAAGAGCTCATCGCTCTCTGATAGGTCATCATCAATGATGGAAAGGTTGAATGAAGCATTTTTCTGCTGAGGTGAGCTGAAAACCAAACGGCCATCGGACACATGGAGGAAATCCTCTCCTGGTGCTGCACTGCCTCCTGATGTTGAGTACGACAGGTGAGTCATGTTGCTACGGGACCCGTATAGCTTCTGAACATAAAGTGTAATAGTTTGGATGTCCTCTGCAATAACAAGTTTACGAGAATCAGGGGCAAACTGGTAAATACCCAACGGTTCCACTTCTGCCACAGTAAAACCTGACCTGTGAAAAAAAAGCGGAGGCATAAGAGCATGATAACGGTCAGCTGAATATTAAACTGTTGCCTAAAGTTGGATTTTGAATCCTACCTTAACTTAACTGTACCAGGTCCACCAGTGCCAGATGTGGCATCAGTGAGATGTAAAGAATAGGTTTCTGCTTCTAATGCATTAGCATGAGCTGTGAAAGATATGGACTTGTCCTTCTCTCCATGAGCCAAGGTAAGCAAACCTAAACAAAAAGAAAGGACACATACTCAACAGTTAGAAATCTTTTCAGAGTTTGACAGAATAATTTGAGAGGTTTAAAAAGAACAGAAAGAAGCTGATTGTTTTGCTACTGAAGAAAACATTTGGAAATAGTATTTTTTAATTAATCAGTCTTCGAAGCTCAAAGTGTTTCACCTGTGTTTGGAATTATACGTCCAATTCTGAAGCCTTGGGGATTCATTCCTGAAGGGTAACCAGCCTTCCACTGCACACTAACTTCCCCAAAAAGCCCAGTTCGAGTTACCTTTGCCTCACAAGCTCCCAACTCTATGCTCAAAACCTCCAGAGCCAGTGAAGCAAATCCAACCTGAACAAGTACAAAACAAATGGATGGAAGATAAAGTATTAACCTAATGACAGATTCTTGGACATACCATTTATTTGTCATTAAACATCAGCATGTGCTGAACAAGAATCCAGGGTCCTGTGGTGTTCTACAAAGTTCCTAACTATTTAAATTTAATTTATTATTAACCATTAATGACATATGTAATGTAAAAAAATAAACCAATTAAATAAAGCTTCAATAATGCAATATTATTGTTAAGCTGATAAATGTTTATAACAGCAGCTGAATGTAGATAAAACAAAAGCAATATTTTCTGCTAAATTTTTGACTTTATGTTTTATGTGAACTCTCATTCATTTCACCTAAATGTTAGATGGATACCATTCTAAAATGTCAGAAATGGTTGATTCATGATTCCAAGGTACGTGAATATAAACAGTATACATCCTACTTGGAAGCCATGAAAAGGTCTAATTTAAAGTTATAATTCCCCAGTCTAGTCATATTACTGAAAATTAACACGAAAGGATAGCTGTCCGAGTACAACCTTGTGGTTTATTATATGAACAAAATAAAACACAGGTGAATAAATAAATCCAGAAGTTACCTCTGAGCTTGCAGCTTCCTCAGGAACGGTCACTGTAGCAGAACTGGAGTCATGAAGCAGACGAGGCAAAGAGCCTTGGAGAGCGCTGACCAGTCTAACATCAGTCAGTTCTATGTTAAAGCTTTCATCGAATGACAAAAATACCTAAAAAGAGAAATGTGTTAGGAAAAATAAAGATATTCAAAATAGCAGGAAACTTAAAGAAAACTATAATTTTTTTCCCAAATGCATGGGTTCTTAGTGCTGTCAGACAGCATTATGGTTCTTACTTGGCTGCTGATTGGGATAGTTATCTGACTGAAGGACTGTCCCTCTACCATAAGCAGCCTTCCTTCAGCTTGTCCTCCCAGTATGTCCTGAATGTCCATCATTTCACTTCCCCTTCCACTTATCTTATAGCCAACACTGGCATTGCCATAAAGCCCTTCAAATCGTGAAACATTCACAAGCAAAGCCCGAGTGACCTGAGACCCTGAAACCTCCACCACTACAGACTGCAGCACAGGGTTCAGCGAAAACACTCCATGGGGTTCATCATTAGCAGGCACCCTAAAAGAGAAAACAAATGAACAAATTAAGTTTTATTATCCACTGTAGTATAGATGTTGAAAACAATCTCACAAGAGCACAACATCAGTGGGTGCAAAATAAATGTTTTTGATAATGTAACAAGAGGTGTTTAGGTTTTCTTAATTTAATTTTAGGCATCTATAAAACAGGTGTATAAATGTGCAAATTTGCAGTGTTGTCCTGTTCTAAAATATATAATGTACTGCCTTTTGGAATCAATAGACATTCCCTATAGAATGCTTTATAAAACTTTATTAAATTCCTATAAACATCCACAGCTGTAGCGAGTCATGCTGCACAGGCGGGCAGGAAGCAGCTGTTTTCTTCTCTCACTAATGAATGTATTTTTTCTTTCATAGAGTGAGAACAAGAAGATGTAAAGGTGGTCAACCTTGAGTCGTTATAATCCTTCAAATATGTTTTAGATAAGCTGAGAAGTTTTATTTATTAATCTTCTTATTTCGCTCCACAAAAATATAAACGCAACACTTTTGTTTTTGCTCCCATTTTTTATGAGTTAAACGCAAAGATCTAAAATTTTGGGTTTTAGCATCTTGATAGTGAAGTGTTCACTATTACACTGGTTTGTCAACAACATTTAAGGCAAATGGTAACATTGTGTATCTGGAAAAAGTTTTAGATCTCAGAGTTCATCTCATAAAAAATTGGAGCAAAACCAAAAGTGTTAGATTTATATTTTAGTTGAGTGTATAAACAGTGTTAGTATTATATTGTATTGTAGAGGAGTGAATATAATACAACTCTACTTTCTTTACCTTATTTGAGTTCTGATCAGGTCTGGGTTGGCATCCAGAGTCCCACCGCCATCCACCGCTGTAAGCTGGACGACGTAGACCTCCTCCAACTCTGGCACTGTGTCAGGTATCAGGCGAAGGATAATCTCTGCCTCCCTTTGGCCTTCCGGTATTATTACAGAGCCAGCTAAGGCTAGAAAGTCACCAACTATATCTGAGTCACTCTGAATCTGCCACTGGACCTGGGATAAAATTATGCTTCTGTTAACATTTTTATTACTTATATTGTGTTTGATTGATAGGGAAGAAATCCAGAATTTTGATATTATCTTACTGTGATGTTGCCCATGGTTCCTCCTCTACGAGTGATCAACAAGGAAATGTTAAGTGGGCCTTCTGCTTCTGTGGATTCATTGATGACGCGTTGCTTGAGAGCATCAGCAGTGAACTGCACTATACCATTAGGATCTCCAAACTGCTCTATCTAAAATAGGAAGATTTAGAAGAAAACTTCAGTTCTTAGAATTGATAATTTCCTTAAATAAGTTATGATGTTTTTCATTATTTTTCCAGAACAGTACCTTAAGTGTTACTGAACCAGCCTGAGGATCAACATCCATCTCACCAGAAAGAACACTCAGCTCTATTATAAATGTTTCCTCCATTTCCACCTCGCCATGAGGCAGAATCCGTAGCTCTATGATACCGACGCTCTCCTCTCCATCTTTAAAAAAGAAAGAGCCAGTCACAGGAGCTCTAATGTCTGTATTTAAAGCAGGCAGGGTGTCTCTGCTGTTTGGACCCAGGATGTTCCAAGCAACCTGTGAAAAGAAAAAATATTAAGCAAAATAGAATCTGATAGGGAACTGCATGATCATATTTTTTCCCCTCGCATAACTGATTTACCGTTGCATTGCCCAAAAGGCCTCCTGCTCTTTCCAATACAAGACTCAGCTTCAAAGTAGAGTCCGGGTTTGCCAAAGTTATTAGACTTTCATTCACAAAGCGGACGACTCCATTTGGAGAATCACTCTTGCTAATGGTGATTCTTGAAACTTGTTGGGGGCCCAGAACAGCTCCGCCGGTGGCACCAACCAGGACAATTTCAAATATCTCTGCAGGTTCACTGGAACAAAAAATGTGTTGATTTGGTTGAGTTAAATTCCACATAATGTTTATTTACATGAGGCATTTTTCTTTTTTATAATAAACCAAGTCCTCACCTGTTTGTGTCATCAATAATAGTGACATTGATGAAGCTTATATTTTGGCCGCTGACAAACATCAGCGAATCATTGTTCAGCAAGTAGTCGAGACCGGGGGTCGCACTCAAGCTTCTTGACAGAAAGTGAGCAGAGACGGTTCCGTAGGAACCCACCCTCCTCACTACGGGGATCAACACGTGACCCACATCTTCCTCAACTGAAAATATCAAGAAAGATATTCATCTTCCGCTTTTTTTAAAGTTATACCCCAAACTTTTTTTATAAATGTTTTAAGGGACTTTAAGGGACATTAAGGGACCAGACCCCTAAAAAACATATTGATGCAAAAGGTTCAATTATACAGCTGTTAGCTGAGGAAATATAAAAATAGTTCTTATTATGACAGGGCAGCTAATTTCCTTCTGTCATTCTAATGTTATTTCAAGACCAGAATTCGAAGGAAATGATGCTAATAATAATCATCTTCCTGTCAAAGGTTTTAAAGGTACCAATATTGCTGGAATACGACACCAATTATTCAATATTAAATTATATTATTATTATTATCACAAACTTCAAAGCTCAGTGTTGTGAAGAAAGTTTCATCAAGGCAAGGAACATTCTGGAAGTGCCTGGATTTTCTACCTAACTACTCCAGTCCTCAAAAGCTACAGACCATCAGGTTTATAGGTATATAAGACAATGGCCAAATGATTTATATTCAAACATCAAACAACAGATTCTGCAAAGATGCCACAACCGGACTACAGAGGATTGGGACTTTTTTTTTTTATTAGAGTGTTTGGGTTATCAAACAAAGTAAGCACCATCTGAAATAAAAGGACGGACAGCTTAATAAATCTTTTGTCTAAATCTAAAAATAAGACAAGTTGTGTTCTTCTTTTATCTAAGGCTAGTGGCTTACAATTTCCTCTAAAACAATGCCTTGACTAAACTGCAGTGCACTTAAACACTTTCTGCTGGCTTTTTACCTGTAATGTTAAGGTAGTGTCTGAACTCCAAGATCCCCTCAGCATTGTCGTTCTGCAGAATAACCACTAAAACAGAAGATATGTTTCCAATAGCTGGAGGTTGGTCCAGTTGAAGTCCTGATTCTCGCACTGTGTAGTCCACAGCACTGACCACCAGAGGGAGACACAGAAAAGAAATAAGTAAAGCACATTCAGCAGAGCATGGGAAACTGAACCTCATTTAAGAAAATGTAACAACCTGAGATTAAGCAGATCTACATTAGTAATGTTAACAAAGAATATCTCGGGTCCCTCTGGTAGACTGTCGTCTCGGATATGAAGAGTAATTTCTTGTGAGGTTTGGCCTGCTGTAAACAGTAATTGTCCTGAAGCTGAAGAAAAGTCTGTTCCACTGACTGCTGTATAGCCTGAGGTCTCATAGTTCACCAACACACTGCCCAAACTGCCAAAGGAGCGAACCACTGTCACATTAACCTGTGTAAAAAAGTATAACAGGAAAGGTGGTGGTTAAAGCCAATCAGCAGCAACAACTGTGTCAGTCTTAGTTGTAATAAAATAGTTCTATAAACAAGTGTGTTAAACTTTAATGATCTTACCATTTCCTCCTCTTCCCTCGCTGTGAGCTGGAGTTGGTCGAAAGAGAAAAGTCCATGAGGGAGATCACTTGCTGCCATGGTAACTCTTGCATGCCTGGCGGTGGGACTTATTTCCAGTCCTACTGTAGCAGAGGTCAGCAGGAGCTGGTAATCACGTCGCTCTTCAGGGAGTTCATCATCAATAACCTGTGAAAATAGCAGATATGAACAAACTTCTATTCAATACATATGGCAATTTTGAAAAGACAGACACAATGAAAGACTATATCTATATATATATATATATATTAATGAACTACAGCAAAATACTTACCTTTAGTAAAATGGTGGCAACAGACTGACCATCACTCATAGCGACAATGCCAAATACTGTTTCAAATTCAGAAACCGAAGCTGGAGTAATATTCCAATAAATTTGGACCTCTCCAAAAACACCTGGACCTCTCACAATGCTGCACAGAAACACACAATCACAAACATATTTTATCATTGAAATGTAAATAACTTCTTTTTCTAGATTAGTTGCAAGTATCACATCTAACTCACTTGACCATGGCAGTCCCGTTATAGTTGCCCTGAGGTTCCCCAATGATAACATTTTGAGATGACTCTGCTATTCCAATGATTCCGAAGGCAGCTTTGTCTGCTCTGATGGTGACAGTTACCTCCCCTGAACAAAATTTATAAAAAAAGATATGAAATAAATAAGTAAGGTTTTTGTTTTTTTAACAAATAGTTTTTTAAGTTGGAAATTGAATAGCATTCAAACTAAAACAAATAATGAGACATTCAACGATTGCAAACAGAAGTCAAAGCAGTACCATCAAACAGAAAAACACCAGCTCCAATTTAAGAAATCAACAGTGTCATAATCAACATGTTTCTAATTACATATCTTAGGACCCTTAGCAAAAACAACACCAGTATATGGGATGATAATAGGAGTCAAGGGGAAATGTGTAGCTTTAGAAGGTCACTGATGCAAACTCAGCCATGCTGGTTATCCTCCTCATACTTTTAGTTATCTAAATCCTGAGTTTAACTGTCAGCAACTGACAGTATATAAGAACAATCTTTGCAGTATTTCTTAGTAGCTAAAGTTGCCAGACAAAAAAAAAAGGTGCCAAGAAATAATAATCACAACCATATAACTAAGAATTTGTGTTGTTATTTTATGAAATGTGGCTTAAACCAAACAAAGACAAAAAGGAGAGTATTTGGAACACCATAAGTCCTTGGTGCTGGGCTGGAGTCAGTATCACTGGGTGTCATGGAAAAGCTTGTTATGAAAAAGACCAGTGAAAAAAAAAATCTGAATCAATAAAAAAATATTAAAAGAACATAAGCTAGACAGGCCTGGCAAAATAAAATTCCTATTTAAGTCTAAGTTAAAGGGAATTTCAGTTCAAGAGTAGGCATAAAAGAGAGACCTTTTCCTAATTAACTCAAAATACCATTAATTTGCCTTAATGGCGTTATACTAACCATGCAAGGGGTCTATAATAGCACCACTGTCAGCAGGAAACAAGCGTACAGTGAAGTGCTCATCTCCCTCAATAAAATTATCAGCGAGGGCTCTGATCACAAACGATTTGGCAGTCTCCGTCTGAAAAGTAAAATGGAAAATTTTTTTACAATTTTATTCCAAATAAGACTTTTAAGCGATGAATAAGCAAGTGGTGCTTTTTTAATTCACCTCAGTGAAAACAAGCGTTCCATTAACAGGAGAAAGGTCATCTATAGCCAGGTCTTCCAGCTGCCACACCAGCGTCACTCCACCCTCACCTCCTTCACTACGTACCACAGTGAGTGTCGCCACAGCTGCAGGGTCGTCTAAAAACTCAGGCTCAGTGACCACAACCTAAATGGAAAAATTGTTTGAAAAAAATAATGGAAAAGATATCTATTACTCTTAATTCATCACTAATTGAATTTTATTACCTTTTTATTTGAATTATGAACTTCTTCAATATCACACATTCACCTCCAATTCTTGAAATCCAAATCGTCCAAGAGGCGAGTCGTTGGATGGAACCACCACAGTAACAGAGGTCACTTGTCCAAGACGAGCTCCACCAATCACTCGTAGCAAATCCACTCTGAAAGTCTCTGAGGCTTCTACATCTTCATCATCCAAGATCATGATGGCTATCGATGATTCTTTCTAAAGGTTTGATAAAAACAAAGCATAAGCCACTCAATATAATATTTAAATAGTTGCAGCTCGTAAGCCTGTATCCATGATTCACCTGGCCGTCTTGAAAGGTGATGTTTCCTGATACAGGGCTGAAGTCATTGAGGTCGGCTGTAATCGGTTGAGCCTCCCAGTAAGCAACCAGTCTTCCACTTGTGCCAGCAAGTCGTAACACTGACAAATGAAGTACATTGTCTGGTGGTGGTATCTCATAGGCAAACACACTTCCAGGTAAATCCTAAGCAAGAGAATTAGTAACATCAGTTTTCATAGAAGATTGTTTAGGACATGAACTTACGTTTTCCTCTCATCTGTGTTCACCTTTTTACTGGCTCACCTCAGAGAAGTTGAACTGCAGAATCCCTCGTGGATCGTCATTCTCCTGAATGGTGATCTCTGCTACTTCCATCCCAGGCCTCCTTAGACTAGGCTGCCCTGCTCCGACTGACCCTCTTACTAACTCCACTTTAGTGATATTCACCAGGAACCTTTCTGCAAGCTCTGGTACTTCATCCTTAAAAAAAACATGTTTATGCATATTCAGTAAAACAAAAAGAATATTGTCAACTTTGATTACTTGTCACCCATCCTTACTGGTAGAATAGTGATAGAGACAAGGGCCACAGTGGCACCGTTGACCATGATAATTGTGTCATCTTTGGCTAAGTAATCCTCTCCTGCAGAAGCCTGATTGGAAGGAGGGTGAAACAGGGCTGGTTTTGTCTGGTAATGGACTGCCACCTCACCTGATGATCCCTGCTCCCTTACAACAGAAAGGGTCACATTGACCGGAACTCCTGCAGATTGGGAAAAAAAAGAGTGTGATATGCAAGTACCTGTCATGATCTTGGAACTGATGACTGGATTATTAGTTCATTACTTCCACCTGCCTAGCTCCTTCCAGTTTTCTTTACCTTTCATGAGACCCACCTGTTCCAGATTCTACTTAAACAGTTTGTTCCCAGCCATCAGTGCCAGATTATTCGATCCGTAGGTGAGAGTTCTCCAGGGTACCCAGTTTGTTTGTTCTGATAACCTGATCCTGATTTCTGCCCTTAAACCTTTGAGTTTGCCTGCCTCTGTTTTGATCTGTTTGCCTGGCCTGTCTCCGGACTCCATCTAGATTCTCCCAGCTAGCGACCTTGGATCTGTCTTTTGACTCCAGCTTGGATTTCCCTACGGTACCTCTTTGGATCTCTGATCTTCTAGCCTGGACTTCTGCAACCTCATCAACACAGGTTTTGGCTTCTCCTTCTGGAATCATCTGCTCTCCCACGTCTGCTGGCTTCTCCACCAGAGTTTTGTGGTCACTAACCTGTGTTTTCCCCTCTGCAGAGATTACGGCCTTTTTGTTTAAGCTGCTGAGTCTCAGATTTATCGAGCACTCAATAAACGCTAGCATAAATCACACCAGTCTGTCTGCCTGAATTCTGGGTCCAAGGTTCTGGTTTCTGACAGTACTAGATTATCCTCAAAACCACAAAAACTGTGCCTGAAAGCATGAGGTAAGGGGAGATAGCATTCTGAGCTCTGGCAGAAGCAGCAGGGAATAATTTTTTAGAACATCAGGGGAAACAGCACCATAACCTGGACTAGGCAGCCAGCTGTGCCACCCTCTGGAGCTAAGGTACCACAGCGGTAGATTAGAGGAGCCCGGGAAACAGACAGAGCACCAGAGTGGGGAAATAAGTCAGCTCAAGAGGAGAGTGGAGGAGCACAGCGGTTGAAGCACGCCAGGGAAACAATGCCAGGGCGGGGAGAGGCTACTGCTGGCTGAGGCTAGCTATAGGCTAACTGCGGATTGAAGAAGTACAGCAGAATACATGGGAGAGGCTACAGCTGGGCTGAGGTACTTTTGAGAAGTCCGCAAGGGAGAATGAGCAGGGGGAGACTACGGCTAGCCGAGGCTAGAGGTAAAAATTCCTTTTCTAAAACTGTGGTCAATTAGTGATACTTCCTCTTCTCATTTAATTTTGATAACTAATAATGAAGAGTCTATGTACATGAGAGCAAATTTGAAAAATGTATGGATTTGATGCTGTGATTGGTGAAAAATGTATACTGATTTTTGTGATCGCCAGTCTGCTCCCAAAGTCCTGAACAATGCATGTCAAGTTCCTTACAAGCTCCCTACGTGTCACAAAAGATTGACAAGAGGAAAGGTAATGTTCAAAGAATGCTGAAAGAAATCCTATGTGTAGTTTGTATTTATGTATGTATCCTTGCAGGGTGTGGAAGATGTACTTTTTCTTTTTGAAGAAAATTGGAAGCTGATGAGATTTGACCTACAATGGCCAACTTTAAATAAAAATTTCTAATAAAGAGGAAGACCTTTCCATCAGTACCAAATCTCTACATCAATAGGTACAGTAAGCATGACAATTTGAATAAACATTTCTGGAGTAATGAAATCATAATGCTACATCTTACTCTAAGAAAGATTTCATTTATCGGGACGACAGTGGCGTTGGGTGTAGGAGTTTGCCCTGAAATCAAAGGGTTGACGGTTCAAGCCCTGACTCTGACTTTCAGTGTCGTTGTGTCCTTGGGCAAGACACTTCACCTGCATTGTCTACTGATGGTGGTCAGAGGGCCCGGTGGCGCCGGTGTACGGCAGCCCCGCTTCTGTCAGTTAGCCTCAGGGCAGCTGTGGCTACAATGTAGCTTGCCACTGTGAGTGTGTGTGTGAATGGGTAAATGAAAGTAGTGTAAAGCGCTTTGGTCATGTCTCCTAACTTGAATAAAGGTGCTATATAAGTACATGCCATTTACCATTTATCTTGCAAAGGTTAAATGTACAGAAAGCAACTGACACTTAAGGATTTTTTTCAATAAGGTTCTTACTCTGTGGTTCCTGGGTTTGTGTAAACTGGGAATCCAGATGCCACCCAATCACGCCATAGGGGGAGCCATTTGGCAGGATAGTAAGCAGAGCCTGAGCCCGCTGCCTGTCAATGACCGCACCTTGTTGCTTCTCCTGAAGGCCCAAGGTGCTGACATCCCGGAGGGTGATAATGACACTCTCAGACACCTCAGGCACGCCATCTGCAATGATGGCTAATGAGATGATGGCTACTGTCTGACCTTCAGAGAATGTTACCTGTAATGAAAAATAAAGTTTTGCACTTAATTACCTATTTATTTATCATACTAAATGGATAAGAGTGTTTATCTAATATATGATTTTTAAGAAATGTTGATGTGGTATGTTGTTCAGTGTAAACAGCAGAGGTTACTCACCACTCCAGATGTGGGGTAAATATCTGCCAAACTACCATTAGCAACCCAATGAACAGTCAGTCTGCCAAAAAGTCCTCTTTTTCTCTCAACATTAAGAGAAATTTGATTATTTTGTTCCAACTCCTCAACATCCATGTGCAATGAATTCTGTGAATGAATATAAAGCTGAGCTTTGTACGCAGAAATCCGTTGAAAAAGTCAGTAACACAGCGAGCTGTTTTAAAATTAAATCTTACCTGAGCAAAGCCAATAACTCCGTGGGCATCATCATTAGATGGGACTATAATTGTAACCTGACCACCAAATCCAATCTCTGCCCCTCCTTTTGGGTTCTTCAGCTTCACCCTGAAGAGCTCTTCCACCTCAGGGATGTCGTCATCAATTATGTTCACTGCTAGATCAAGCTCTCTATCACCAGCAGCAAAGAATAACTCCCCAGAGCTGAGTGTCAGAAAGGAATGACATTTCATTAACATATTTTATTAACAAAGCTGTGCCCAACAGTTTTAATCCATGCCATACCTGGGTATAAAATCAGACTGATTTGAGACAGATGTGAATTCATAGATAGTGGAGCTATTATCTTCAGAGGAAGCCAGAAGGACCTTTGTGGTATTGAGGTATGGCACCATGAATGAGAGGAAGTTGTTGGCTCCAGGGACCCTCAGGATCATGGTAAACAGGTTCACATCAGATCTCCAGGAATAAAGGGAGGAGCTATTTCTTCCACTTAGCAAGGCATATGCTGAGGTGAAGAAATATCTAAGTTTAGAATTTCAAAAATGATCAACAACCTTTCTGGGAAAAAAAGCAATCAACATTTTACGATTGATTCAAGAACATATACTGTATTTTTTTTTAACGGAGGCATTTATTTTTGTTCAGTTAAACCGATACAACAAAGAGTTGGATATAAGTAGCTTTCATGAAGCTTGAATGATGTAATAAATTTTTTTTTCTGTTTTTTCGTCTTTTAAGCATTCAAAAGAAATGATACGGTTATCTGTGTTACTTTGGTCAGCAGTGTTCTCTACTTTTAACCTACGCTGTGGATTTTTGTGGAGCCTCTTTGTTTTTGTTAAAAAAAAAAAAAAACTCAAACTTAACCTTTACTTAAACAGGTGACCTCCTTAGTGTTTTTCTTTTTTAATCTCCCATGTGAATCAGTGGCATGCTCTAGGAACAGTTTTAGAAGGCTGGCAACTCCTGTGTAGTTTAATTAGAGCTCAGTTTTCTGCATCTGTAGATAATGGGTCTCATTGTGGTTAACTTGAGCCCAAAATAACCTTCGAAATGTCTTTGCAACTTATTTTAAGAATTATAAATGCCATCGACTTCTTTCCTTATTTGTTGTTAAAGGTTTCTAAGGTAGAAAGATGATATACTGCATTTCTATAAACTCACATTTTGTTGCACTGGTTCTACTTTTATCTTAAATCAGTTTAATAAACTAAAAACTAATCCCTCAGATCATCTGAAATATGTGAGACATTAGCAAAACAGAAGAAGTCGTTTTCAATGTAAACAATTTTCAAGTATTCAAACATGAGCACTAAATCTTATGAAGTAGAGTTGTTTATCACGTCTTACTGATCCCCGATGGCACAGTGAAGGAGTGAATGGAGACAAGCCCTGGGTGAGGAATGGACTGACGGTTCTGTGGTAAAGGCTCTGATGAACTCCACTGTAACACTTCACAGGAAGGAGAGAGACCTGTTGGAGAAAAAACATAAAATAAACTGAAGCAAACATAAAAACGCTTGAGAGGTGTATGCTCATTCACACCAGAATAGCATGTTTATGTAACCACTCGCCTGACAGACACGCCCAAGACTGAATAATTACATGTTCAGAGAACTTTTGTGGTTCTGCTGTACTACACACTGAGGCCTTGCCAAATAAACCAAAAAAACCATACTGTTTGCAGACTCAGAAGTATTATATAATTTTACAATAAACAAGGAACTGCAAAAAAATTTATCGCCAGAGGCACATTGTAAATTTCACAAAAACCTACAACTTGTGAGGAAACAAAGGAACAAAGATGTTTAGGAAGCCTAAACAGTTTCTGTTTGTTTCACCAATGTTTGCAGTCTGTAATGATATCTGTTACATAATTACGAAAAAGATATGAAGCAAACAAGGTAACATAAAAAAACAGCAACAATGAAATCCAATACTGTTTCAATACTGCGGACTAAACATCCAAGACCATACATATATAGTGAACCTAAACATCTGCATTTTGACTCAACAGCAGGCTGCTGACACAAAACACAGATATTCATCAATTTTTTTTCAAAAGCTGAACTTTTATTTTTATATCTACAGTAATCGATAAACCAGTTCAATCTCAGCAACTATATCAGCTGTGAGTTCCAAGGATATCAGTGTCATATGCAATACATCATTTGCAAGACAAATATTTGGTTAATGTATTACAAGTGTTAGAAACTCACATTTTATATGTTATATTTTGTTAGCCGGATTGTCTTAGGTCCACAGATATACAGAATACAGTGTGTATGAGAATATGAAAATATCAGCTGGCATCATTGTATTTACCAAATTTGATCAGAATAACAAAATGATGATACAATAAAGTTCCAGTCCTAGTACAGGCTTTTAAAAATACTTGAACAACTGTTTTTTTTTTTTTCTTTAGGTACGTCTCCAAACTTTCACTGTTTAATATGTATTGGCCACAAAAATCTTAGACCAGGGGTCTTCAACATTTTCTGGTGAAGGACCCCCAAACTGATGGCGAGATGAAGCGGGGACCCCATAATTATATATATATTGTATGAAATAGTGTTATATCCAACTGGTCCTATAGTCACTCTATTACAGATGGAGTAATGCAACAAAAGTAATTTCTCCTATGGATAGTATTTCTGATTCTGATTCCTCATTCATGGATCAGGTGTTGTGAATGAAATGGTGCACAGCTTGAAAGATCTCCTGTGTGTCGCTGAATATGTGCATTGATGACTGAAAGACATCTTCTGACTCCATTTATCTGTTTACTACAGTTTGTTCAATTCATGTTAATGTGTATTTAAAGACATTTCAATTAGTGGAAAAAATGGAGGTGGGAATATAAAAAAAGTCTAATCACCAAAACTTACACGACCAGAATGAAGTACCTCTGTGGACCCCCTAGGGGTCGCGGATCCCCTGTTGAAGACCCCTGTCTTAGACCATCTGTATCGTGTGATCTGTATCTGTAAATTACTTTCCTTGAAAAAGCTAAGCTTCCTTCAACACAATTATGGGCCTATATTAAGGAATTTTTACTTTTTTATTCTTTGTACTACGTTTTTAACCTACTAAATTCCTCCTGAATTCTGCTTTCTGCAGTAGCCCCTCCCTTTGTTGGTAAACTAGCAGCCATTACAGCTCGATGTAGAGCAGTGTTTACCTGCACTGCAAAAAATAGAAATCTCAATAAGTTATTTTTTCTTAAAATAAGTGTGTTTTTCCTTGATTTGAGGAGGTAAGTAAGACACTTTGCCAATGGAACAAGACAATTTCCTTTTAAAATAAGAAAAAACAATTTTATCTTCTTATTTCAAGTAAATATTATCTAACTATCTTATTTTAAGAGTGAAAATACTCATTCCATTGGCAAATCATCTTATTTACCTGCTCAAATTAAGGCTAAATATACTTAATTTAAGCAATTTTTTACTTATTTCTGGATTGTTTTTGCAGTGTGCCCATTCCACGAAGCACCTACCTTGACTGTGCTGTGCTTGCTCAGCAAACAATAACCCGCTTTTTTCAGATCAGCTTGCAGCAATGTAAAGCTGAGCATGATCATTTCTGCCAGCCGATCTGCACAGTGACAGTGGATGTTTTCTAAGATTTATAAACTAATGTTTAGATGTATTTTTTTGTGAAGAGGTTTTAGACTTTGTCCAGCCTTCTATAGGAGGAACCTAGGGGAATGTTCTGATGTGGGTTTTTATTCCAGGTCAGAAAAAAAATGAATGCTTCACAGCGTCAAAGGCAATATTTTATCACACACACACACACACACACACACGCACACACACACACATATATATATATATATATATATATATATATATATATATATATATATATATATATATATATATATATATATATATATGCCTAAAGTTGTGTTTAAAAGGTTTAAAACAGTGAAACAACTTTCATCACCTTCAAGAGCAATCATCAACAGCGTATCCTCTCTTCTTGTGTTGACTACCTCCACCTGAATGACTTTGCCAGAAATTGGGAGATTTAGTGGATCCTGAAATCTGCTATTGCTCCATTGCAGAATTGTGCAGCTTCCACTCTGGTTGTCAATGCAAACTAATAGGAAGAGCTTATCTGCATGAATAAAAGGAGCTAGACTGAGGATGTTCTGCTGAAAGTTGAGAGTCTGGTGAAGAGTAAAGGAAGTTCCAGTCCAAACAAAAATCTGGAGAATCAGAAAAAAAGTAGGTAAAGTGTAATTTTAGTTAACATTTCAAAATAAATTTTCATTGAAAATTTTTCTTTTTTTAATAGGGGCAGGGTCTGCATTACCTGGCTAGATGCTATTAGATAATCTTTGCCTTCAGTAGAGAAGTGCTTAACATCCAGTGCTTCAACACCCAATATCTGTTCCTTTGGAAGATAAAAATTTGGTATGTCAAACTCAATGTTATTGTAATATGTGTCAATGTATTCAAACATGACAATAACGATGTGACAGCTGATTTTATGCTTACCAATGTAATGTTTAGGTCCTTCTGTAGCTTATAGATGCTAAGATTGGTAGCAGGAAAGAAGGGAGGGCCACCATTCGTAATTCCTATGTATGTAGAGCCATTTACTGCAAACCCAACACATGCGGCTGGGTCTTTGATTTTGAAAGACTGTAATAATGAAAAAAGAAAGGTTGTAATGTGTCCTGAATCATCCTTTCTCTTTCAGTATTACCTAGGTTTTAACTAGAGTTCAAAGGTGTTGTTTTAGTTAATTTAAAATGGCGAGGTTACCTCTATTGGCACAAAAACACCTTGCCAGCGATACAGAGTTGCCAAAGTGCCGACAGTCCCAACCGTTGGCTTCAGGTCCAGCCTCAGAGCCAGAGAGGAAGACTCAGAGTCTACTGGAATGGAGCACCAAGCAGATGTAGGGTTGTTCTCAAAGTTCTGATACAGCCCAATGACTGGGAGGGGACCCTCTGTTGGGAGAGAAAAAAAAAGAAGAATATTGTCTGTGTCAAAGAAAAGTAAAATAAGATATTTATACTTATTTCTGCTTTTTATCCTAACCAGAAGCTGTAGCTGTGTCAGACTCCATTTCCCACTCCACACTGACCACTGACTCCAAGCCATTACTGCGAGAAACAGTCAGGAAGACTGCTCTGCTCCCTTCCTCTGCAACCATTGCTGTGTTGGTTCTGAATAGAGACACAACCAATAAATCTATTAAAGAGTTTTTTTTAAGTTTAAAACACATGATAGCCTGCAAACAATTGCATTTCTTTCAGAGAAAGGATGAAACGGTGCTGAGACCTGTTGAACGACGGCCCAATTCGGAATAAGCCTGAAGGGGCTACATTCTCCAGGACAGTGATGAGAATTTGAAGCTGGTCCCCAAGCCGTGCCCCTCCTGTTGGGTTGAAGAGAGTCAGTGTGAAGGTTTCGTTCACTTCAGGTTCAGCATCTCGTATCGCCCGGACCTCCAGCATCTGAAACAACACAGAAATTCAGCACAAACATGCAGTATATAACTTCTTCTTGGTTGGTTAAATCACCCTCTGACTTACCTTAAACCTGACTCCATCATCCAGCACCACAAAACCTTGCGTTGGCATCACATCACCCTCAGCCAGGCTGCCGTTAGCATCCATAATGGCAAACTGTACAGAGACGGTGCCAAAAGTGCCTTCCTCTGGGCTACGAACCACATATAGTTGAGCTATGCTGTCACTCAGCTGTGACACAGACGTAGGCTCTCTTAATAGGAAGTGATCACTAGTGTTAAAGGAAATGACACCGTGCCCATCATCACTGGCCAGTATATTTATAGTGGCTGTTGAGGCAGAAACAGGTAGTTAGAAAACATACTTTGTATTGTTATGATTAACATTCACTTCAGCAAATATTTAAATTGTTTTACAAAGTAAAAAGATTTGGATAAATATTAAGAAACATAACCTTGCAGCATAAAACCCATTTTTAAGAATTTTGTGTGTTTTTGAGCTAAATACAAATGTGTGATAAATGTCAGAGATGAGGTTCCTTTATTTTGTAGAAAGATGTAGCAGAACAATCACCTATGGTTGTGTGGGGTATCATTTGTAAAAATAACTTATCAAGTTGTAGCAATATTTTGGGTTATTTAGCCTAAAAAAAGAGGAAAAAATGGGGGTTAATAATTCAAAAGTCATAATCACCATATCATTGAAAACTTTATCACTTTTCAAAACTAAACTATTTCATGCAATGTTAAACTTGTTAATTAAAAATCAATTTAGCAACCTAAATATTAAGGTACACAATGAACACTTAGTTTGCTAACTAAAGGTTTAGCATAATAAATACATTTTTTATATTTAGCTTTTGAAATAATTGTATAATTTACAATTAAATATTCACTTTAAAAGCTAAACATTAAGTTTGAACAATAAATATTTAGTTTGAAAAATAAATGTCAAGCATGGATCAAACCACTCAGATTGGAACAAATATTTGAATAAAGGCTAAATATTTTGTTTGCAGATTAAACATTAACTTTCTATAAAATGTTTGGTTTGGAATTGTAATGTTTACAAATGTATGAACAATATAATAATTATGTAACTTTGATATATCAAATCCCATTTTTTGTCTTATGTAAGGCTAAATTTCCCAAAATATTGCTGCAAATATTTGACTAGGTAACTTTGCAAATGGCAACCTAAATGGTTGCCATGGCAGCACAATAGCATTCTGCTAAACAGTGATGAATGAGGAGAACTACAGCTGGCACAACGCTCTGATATATTTCAAAGATAGACCTGGAGCAAGTCAGTGGTAGATTTGGTTTCCAGGACACATATTGGACTTGATATCCTGCAATCTAAACTTCATTGTGCATCACTGTCTCTCTGCCTACCTGTAGTGTTCCTGCCAAGCTCCAGCCCAGGCGAAGGCTTAGAAAGGATCAGCTGGAATCTCTCTGCATCTTCTGGAATGGTGTCATCAATTATCTGGACCTCCACAAACTTATGCCTTTCACCATCCACAAAATGGAGCATCTGAAATAACAGACAGTTGTTAATGTAAAAATGACACTCTTATGTTTACAAAATCTTACAATGACTTTGATTTAGAAAAAAAATAATAGAATCAAGATGAAGTGGGCTTTCCTTGTATTATAATAAATCTTTTACCTGTATTAAAATATTGATTGTTGACTGAAAAATACAAAATGTAGTTGCAAATGCAAAGAAAATGGTGCTTTTTTTTATTACTTTTTAAAGTCCCCACAGCATGTTGCTGCCACCACCGGTTTTGATCATGGCGTTGGTGTGCAATGATAATTTAAAATCACACATTTCTCTTCCAATGAAAGCCAATACACTTCATCTTTGTCAAATCCAACAAGATCGCCTTCTCCCACATGTTGGCCTCTACATGGCTTCTTAAAAACTGCATAAGTGTCATAAAAAGACAAAATGATACCGTTTCACTGATGTTGTAGTCAAGTCCCTGTTGAGCTTCTAAGTTCTGGGCAAAGAAGAAAAGGGAAACATTTCCATATGTCCCCCTGTTTCTAAAGGCTACAAGAGTCAGTGATCCGATTGTTTCGTTTACGTCATACCTGCAAGCACAAGCACATTTCAAAAATTATTTGTTCAATAAAGCATATGTAAATATTTACATGAAACATTTTTGTTGTTTTGTTTTTTCTTACATAGTGCTTGTCCATTCTATGATCCCTCTGATCCCATCATTCGCATCTATGCTGACCTCTGCCACCAAACCTTGAGTATCTACAGGAGCCCAAGCAGAGAAAATATAAATATTGATAATAATAGCTTCTGTGGTTTAATAATTGTGCTTTTGTTTTTACATCTAGCATATCTATCAGGCTTATCTACAGTGGGAAAAGCAAAAAAAAATTGTAAGGGAGTAAATTTAGGGGCTCTAACTTATCAAAACTAGGCAACATCTCCTGCAAAAGGCCTGAGAGGTTGCAAAGCCAAGCACGATGTATTTATGGACTGATTTATGACCCTCTGAGCAGTGTTCTCCCATTTACTCTGTGGCTAGGACACTGGGAGGCCAGTTATGGGTTTAGTTTGGCTTTCTTCTTTCTCACCACACAGGGCTACGCGCTGCCACCAAATCCCAAGACTTCCTTAATCATAAAAAGCATCGGTCTAACCATCCAAGCCACATAATGATTGCTGCCAAGGGGACGGCTTCATGTTTACTGTGCGTCTCCAGGCAGTGGGCTGATAGTATTCTGGGAACCTTCGACTGCTGGTGTAGTTGTACTTATACATTGTCTACTCATCACTTTCTAAAGTTAGTCATTCATAAATGGGGCTGTGGTTAAAATTTCACAAAAAACAGGAGAAACTGCAACTACAAACTGGTTAAAGATGCATTTTGCGAGCTGAAAATGTAATGGCATAAAGCAGCATGAGAGGATTTCATCCATTACAGTTTTTCACATTTAAAGCATAACTCAAACAGACGTATATATATGTATTTTACCTGGTAAAGTACAATAAGCAACCTCTGCTCATCAAACAAGAGAACATGTTAAAAGATTTTAGAAAGAAAAAGAAGAATACTAATTACAAAGATCACAAAGCAATTAGAAAATATCATCATTGTTTCAGAACTACCAACAGTGGCCTCAATATGATGCCTCAGTCTGATTAACAGCTTAGGTATAAATCCTCACCAAGCTGGGGAACAGTTGTGAGTGTTGTAATGAGTACTGCAGATGTTATGTTGACCAAGAAGAACTCCTGCAGCTCTGGAATGTCATCCTGATAAACAGAGAAAATGTAAGTGTGAATTTCTAATCTGTGGAAACAAATGTCTCCTACACTTAAAAAAATCGAAATCTAGATAAGTATTTTTTCTTAAAATAAGTGTGTTTCTTTCTTGGATTGAGGAGGCATTTTGCCAATGAAACGAGAATTTACACTTAAGATAAGACAACACAACTGCGTTGTCTTATTTTTTGTGCATATTATCTAATAATCTTATTTTAAGAGTAAACATACTAGTTCCATTGGCAAACTATCTCATTTACGTATACAAATTATGAGCAAATGCACTTTATTTAAGAAATTTTTCGGTCTAGAAATTTTTATTTCTAGACCGTTTTGTCAGTGTAGAGTGAGAATATACTATATAACTATGTACATACATAAACACAATAAAAGTTTCTTTAGATTACCGCTGGTTTTATTGTCTTTTGTAAGACTTATCTCTGATTACCCTTTAGAAACAAACTACTTCATTGTTGTTTTTTTTAAACTTATTTTATCTAAATCTAGAGGTAAAGTAAATTCCCCCATACATAATTTATTTTAATTTTGATTTATATAGACATTTTTAGACTACTAACTAGGGTGACCAAAGCAGTACACAGTACTATAAAAAATATATAAAACATAACTACCAGACAACAGGGCAATACAAATCATATCAAGACACAAGTATGTGCACAATACTTGGCAGTGAAGTTTTAAAAAACAGAAAAGGGAGACATTGAGTCTTTACCTCCAGAATGGTGACAGGTACTGGAACTGAGGTCTGTCCCTCCTGAAGTATCACAAAACCCGTGCCAGAGACAAAGTCTTGTCCCGGGTCAGCAAGATTACCGTCCACCTCAGACAGATTTTGTAGAGAACCTCTAACAACCTCATAGGTAATATTCACCGTTCCTAAAAGCAGAAACGAAGCTACTACGTGGCTCTTTATGGTACAGAATACCTGAAGGTAACAAATTAATTTAAGGATAAATACTGTACAGATGTATGCATTTGGGTTTTTCTAACAAACCTGAGACTCCAAACTCTCTGTTGATGTAGATATTTATTATCTGGTCACGTTCCTCTGTGCTCACCCTCAGGGATGATGGTGCTATAGTCAGCAGCCCGTAAGGCTGATCACTGGTGTCCACAGTAAGCACTGCCTCACTGCCTTGAACGTCCAGGGCTGCATGACCTGTCACTACAACTCCTGCATCCAAAGCACATTGATTAATGAGGAAATATGCTTACTAAATTCCTTTGGAGTCTTTGTTTCCTAAAACAACTAAACTGCTTATTACCAAATGTTTGTAGATTGGAAAGAAAGACTCTGTATTGATCTTGGTTCTCTGGTGTGGCATCATCCATGAGCTGCAGGACTATACTGCCATTAAGCTGTCTCTGGAAGAATAAGCAAAAACATGCAACATTTGTGATATCTTAAATTTGTTTGGAATACATCCTAAGCTGTGCCATGAATGAGAAAAAGGTGAACATCGTGAAGCAACGATTGCTTTAGAGTAAACAAATCAACAGCTTACTATTTACCTCATTGAAGAAAAGTGTCCCTGACGTTTGAACAAAGGTGCGGTGAGCAAGAGGACCTTGAACAGTCCAGTCTAACGAGACATTACCCAAACCTGGAGCTGATCTCAACACTAACAAGGACAGGCTCTCACCTGTAAAAAGAAAATATGATAGATTTGGTTTCAAATTTATGCAATACAGTAACTAAAGAATTTGCATCTAAGCTTTCAAATAGAGTTGTTGTTTTTTTTATTTCCTGTATGTTTTTTATAGTGTGACAGCAGAGGTTTCAAAGATGTCTGATGGTATGAAACCTTCAACCATTCATGCATGCAGGATTTCATGATAATGAGAAGCCTGGAGCCCACCTGTTGCAGCATCACCAGCCATCACAATAAGTGCTTACTCTCACTTTCACATTCATACATAATTAGAAAGCATCTCCAGTGTCCAGAGGGTCATGTTACAAAATTCATCTTATTTGAGTGCTTGGTTGTTTCTGAAGAATCAGACCTTTGAGACTCAACTTGATAGGATTTACAGTTCTGTTGCAGTTTAAACAGATCAAAAGTAAACATCCTCTACCATTCATTTAAATTAGAAGTTGTCCTTTAAACAACAGAATACACTTTATCTGTAGAAAATGTTATTTGTGATAAAGTGCTTTAAAGATTAATCACAAAATGAACCAACATTTGGAAAGTATGCAAGGATCAGTATTTATACCCCTTGTACTTTACCATATTCCATCCAGTACAACAAACATGAAAACATTTTACTGGGATTTTATGTGATAATTAAAATAAAAGGTAAACTTCTTCAAAAATCTTAAAAATATTGTGTGCATTTGGAATCAACTACTCTGTGTATAATTTGCAAATACAGCTAAAAGTCTTTTGGAGTCTCTACTAGCTCTGGAGATCTATAAACTGAAAGTTTAGCTCCAGACCCTTACAATGGATATGTTTGGACCTCAAGCAGGTTCTCCTCCTTGTATTTAACTACATCCTTCTTACAACTCTTACAAATTCAACACCGATACCCACCCTCTCTGGCAATGACGGAACGTGAGCCTTGATCAAATCCTACTACTCCCGCCACATTGTCGTTTGCCAGTATCACTATGGTTACGGTGTCTGAGCTGGGGAGGATACGACTTCCGCCCGCCGTGTTAACAAGGCCAATCATGAGGCTCTCACTGTCCTCTGGTTCAGAATCTTCCTTGATCATTACTTCTACTGTCTTTTTAAGATCAGCTGTTTGCAAAGAGAAGCAAGTTGTAATCGACTCTCTTGAAATATACTTGTCTAAACTAAAAATAAAGAAAGAAAAAAATACACATACCATCAAAGACCAGAGTCCCTCCACTCCCAATAAAATCGGCATCTGGTGTGGCTTTTCCTCCAACAAATCTCCACTCTACGGTGACAGTGCCCAGATTCCCTCCTCTTCTCTCAATGACCAGCGGGACAACTGTGGGCTCTTCTTGGACCTCAAGGTAGAGTCCATCCTTGGTGGCATTTGGATTAAGACTGTAGATCAAAAAGATGCCAAACGCATCTCCGTTCACTCCTATAGTGACTACGGCCTCATCTGGCTGTCCGATTGTGGGCAAGTTCTTCCGTGACACCGTCAAATTTACTAACTCTACCTTTAAAAAGACAGAGAACATACTTTTTAACTATCACAAAGCTTTTACAAATACACTGAAAACATAATATGTTTTTAAGTTGGACTTGGCATTACCTTTAAGATCTGTATAGAGAAGCTTTCATCCATTTCAGGGAATTTATCAGTTAAGATTAAAACCGAGAGGTTGGCAGTCCCAGATCCATCCTCCATGAAGGCACTTTGAGCAGTGACAGGGATGTAATCAGTTCCTGCTACAGCCTGGCCACTAAACAAGATGGCAGCTGCAGTCGAGTTCTTAACATAAGTCAAAACCTGAGATCTAGAGCTCAGTTGGTCAGCCCCAGATGAAACCCATGTACAGGACGGAGGAGTCGCAGCAGATGACAGAGAGAATGCCTGGCAGGCTTGCTCTCTTAAACACGCAGCAGCACATGCAGCCAAAGGGTCTATTTGATTTGTTATGTTCACCGTCATAAACAGCTCATTAGATGGAACACCTGGCTTTGGAGAGTGATAGTACATTAATACATTTTGGTCTTGAGCCTGAGCCGAGCCAACAGCATCAATCTCGGTGGTGCTGTACGTAATCTCTAAACGACCAAAGTGTCCTCCACTGGAATAGGACAGTAGGGATGATGGGGAACAAACAAAAGCACAAGGGAAATTTTCAGGTATGAAAAAATTGTTAGGCAATATACAGCACAAACGTTCTATCACATTACAACAGACCTCAATTGATTTTATTGGGTATTATGCAAAAGGCTGAAACACATTAAAATGATGATGAAAGAATCTGATATGTTTTTTTTTTTATCTAATTCGCAAATAAATAATAGGCTTGGCTTATCAACGCGTTCAACTTCCTTTACTCTGATACACCTAAACTAAATATAGTGTCACTGATGCCAAGTTTTGGTCATGCACTTTACTAATCTGGCCTTTTGGTGGGGATTAGCAAAACTTTAAAAAAATGTCTCTACTCTAGTTTATAACAAGCAAGGCACTGGAAACATGAAACATGCAGGGCATGATGCCATGGACAGATGTTTACAAAGGTCAAATTTTTATAAAACCCACCAATGAAGCAATAAAGTTAGAAGGGGGTTGGTTTTGTTTCAATTCAATTTCTAAGGAAATCAGAGCCACCTTTTGTTCCCCCAAATTCTTTTTTAAATCTGCAGCATATTAATCTCAGTGCTCCCCACCACTAGTTGGAACTGAAGAAGCCTCTTGGATGAGAGGCGAAAGGTCTTCTTGAAAACGTCACGTCCAGTTGCCTGAACTGAACTTTTCAAATTTGACCCTGACTTGGACGACTGAGAATCTTCACGAATATGAGGAATAGCCAAACAAAACAACATTCCCTTTAGATATGCAGAAGTGGTAGAAACATTCTGTAACTCAAATTATTGATTTAGTGAGAGTGAATGCAGAAAAATAACACCCCTCTGATTTGTTGGGTAAGACTTTACCACTTAACATCTGCACATTGGTTTGTGTCAGTCACATAAAACCCAAGTGCATTGGATTTATATATTGTATTGTCAAAAGATATGACAAATCTGAAAATCAAGTGGTACATATACTTTTGCAAGGCACAGTAACCAATAAGTGATTTTACCTCCTGCGGACGGTGATGTTAGCACTGTAAATCCCCTCCAGTGGCTCCTGAACACGATAAACAGTCTGTTCAAAGTAAACGGTCCCATATGGGTTGTCATTTGCAGGCACTATTATGTTGACAGATATATCAGCTCCCAAGTTTCCTCCATTACTTGCATCTATTAGTTCTACTTTAATAATCTAGAAAAGACAGAGTGGAAAGAAATACATTTGTTTTTAAACACAATATAGGATGTATATTTTTTTTTACTACAGCAGTTTCTCTTGTTACCTCATTAATTTCTGGAACATCATCAGGTAAGACTTCAACTGTCACTGTCTTCATAGTTTCTCCAGGAGCAAATTTAACCTCTCCAGATGTGGGTCTGATGTCCCCCTCAGCCAGTTTACCATTAACAGTCGCCCTCCACTGGACTGCCACTGTTCCTATAGTACCAGCATTGCGCACAATAGGCAACTGGACCACAGCAGGAGTGGATTCTGGTTCTTCAACCATCACTGGGGCAGCCTGGAAGACTAGGGAAATAAATCAAATGGGATAACATCAGTAATGATTAAGTTATCCCATTTGCTTAGAAAAAGTACAGTACACTGAAAGAAAAAATTTGAAGTGAACAACTAACCAAAGGCACCAAAAGGGTCATCAGAAGGCAGTATGGTGATGACAGCACGTGTGAGCTCTCCAAGCAGAGCTCCCCCGGTTGTTTGGTTGATCAGCTCAATTATAAATGTCTCTTCCAGCTCGGGGACCAGATCATTAATAACATAGACGGGAACAGATTTGCTAGATTCTCCCTCTAAAAGAACCACGTCACTCGAGGCCACACTGTAGTCTTCGCCTGTAAGAGGAGACACCAGCACACCATCATGCTCAGGTCTGCCTGCCCCTACAACAATCATTTTGATTTGTTGTTCAATACTTACTGACTCTGGCGGTCACAGGCACAGCTCTGAATTTGACAGAGACATCGGCAAAAATCCCTCCAACTCGTGTGACATTTATTATGGGTCCAACATAGTGTTCAGCTACACTGACGGCTGAAGTGGACAGCTGAAGGATTCCAAAAGCATCGTCGCTTGCCTCCACTATCACCTGGGCAACAATGTCAGCCTCGGGGCCAAGAGAGGGGGAAGTTGAGACTAAAAAGTAAAGAAAGTGAATATTATATGCATTTAACATGGTACAGTTACAATAAATACACTATGGTGTATTGGGTCACACACCTGTAAACTCACATTTAAACTTTAGTGATATTCAAACTGACATTGTTTAACTTCATATACCCTCTCTACATCTCTAACAGCAATTAGCCAATTAGGAAGGCTCTGTAAAAGGTTTTGGGAATGTGTTTATGGCACACACCATTCTGATGAGACTGTAAGACCTACCACATTATCCTCCCTACTTACTTTAACTTGGTTATTTTACCTCTAAAAGTTGACTTTTGGATATTTGACAGAAATAAAACTTCTGAACAGGACTTATTGCACAGGTAGCATCCAATCATGGTACAATGCTGAAATTAAATGTCTTGGAGAAAGAACCAATACTTTCAGCCAATATTTTAAAAAATATATAATCACCAAACTTACTGGGCCTTTTCTGGTTTCCTTTGAGGAGCTCAACACTAAACAGTTTGACGAACACAGACTCATCTCTTTCTGGATCCTCATCATCAAGCACTCTGAGCGTGATATTAGCCACAGTCTGATTGGCCGAAAACACAACTGAATCAAGGAGGGACACAAAATCCCGCCCTTCAGTTGCTCGGCCAATTCCTGGGGTTCTATAAGGTGCCAGATCGGCCTCTTTGAGTGTCCCATATGTGACACGCACCTGTGTTAATAAAACATGAATAAATTCAGCAATATGACAAAACGGGCGCATATGGAAATGTTTGTACAGGATTTGTCGAAGGTAACTGGACACACCTGACCCAGAGTTCCTTTCAGTCGCTGGATAGTGAGGGAGACGGGTCCATCTGCTTCAGGAAGACGAACAGACCTCGATGCATTAGCAAATACAAAAATGCCATAAGGATGATCACTGGCAAGCACAGTCAGAGTGGCAGATGTTCGGGCACCCAGGCGACCTTTCGAAACATTAACTAGAGACACAGTGTAGCTCTTGTCCAACTCTGGGATCTCATCCTGTGCGACATCAATCAGTATATTCTCTGAGATCTGCCCCATTTCAAAGGAGATGTTCCCAAACCTACTAAGGACCTCTCCTTCAGAGCTGGGATCAACTTCCCAGTACACAGTCACATTAGAGAGATTTCCAAATGACCGGTCCACCTGTTAGAGAAGAGTGAACCAAAGAAGATAATTAGGTAAGTAAAAAACAATCTGCATGTATTCTATAGAAAGTCAACTGTGTACTTGACTAACCGACAGCGGGATGGAGTTCAGCCCATCCTCTGGTTCTGTCCCATTGACAGATAGAGATTGAGGACTGAATTCAAACACCCCATGAGCATCGTCAGAAGCAGCGATTGTGACAGTAATGCGAGATGCAACTCCCAGGCTGGCTGTGTAGAAAATGTTACACATTTCAAATTATTTTCTATAATTCATTTGAAACGAAAGGAATGAAAGAAATATCCACTCATAGTGCCACAGTGGTGGAATTTGTCCTATGCACTTAACTCATACCTAAGGGAACAGTGGGCTGTCACATTGCTCTCTAACCAAAGGAGTGGCTTCAGTTCAGGTCTATTGATGCTGTTCTCCATTTTTTTAAGGTTTGACCCATTAAGGTAGTTTTCTGCATTGTAAGGTTTAACCTTTAATGTATTTTACACCATTTCAGACTGTTACATCTACAATAAGAGGAATACCTGTCAACTAACCTGCTGCTCACAAGATATTTTCTCCTTTTGCTAAAGCTTTACAACCAAAATGGCCAGAAACCCAGATTAATTGCATCTCTAATTGTTTTGAGAATTACTTGGTTTAATCTAAATTTTCAATGAGACAATGGGGGAGCCTACAGCTTAAACAAATGGGTATCCTCTTCTTTGCAGCCCTATTTGCTTTTCCCATGTCAATCTTCTTAATTACTTCTCACTGGGGTCACAGTGCAATGTAAAGATCAAGCACACTACAAACAGCAAACATGCCTAAAGAATGTAATGATAAAGGAGAGGAGAAGGATAAACAATGAGGAGTAAAGGAAGGGAAACTTACCAGGGTGGTTTGAGGATGGAAGGAGGAAGTCAAAATCGCTTTCCCCACTACCACTCGCTTCGCTTCGCAGAAAGTGATCAGCTATTGGATCACATCCATGGATTACGAAGCGAAGGGTGATGTGCGGGTGGGGGCGTTCACACCAGATCAGAACCACAACAGGAAGGGAATTGAATGGAAAGCAGGTAGGGGTTGTATGTAGGTGATCATACATGTGGGTTTATGATAGCACACAGGGGCACAGCAAACAGAAAACCACAAAGGTACAGGACACATCATTAGTTCAGACTGTTTATGTTTAAAAGCACTTAATGTTAAGAAAATCAGACTATGGTTTAAATTTAATTTTCTAACCTCCACCATCGGCATTGTAGAGCTCCACCCTAAAAACCTTTTCTAGTTCTGGGACAGGGTTGTCCACAATGGTCACATTGATGAACTTCAACCTGTCACCTGGGAGGAATTCTAGGACACCCTCTGAGTCCTGATGGGAAAAACAAAAAGTAGGAAAACTACATAAACATCCCACATTTTGCCTATGTTTACTTCTAGATATATCAGTGTAGGTGGATTAGTAAGAGACAAATTGATAAAAACCTCATAGTCTTCAGGGCTGGATGCTGTTAAGGGGGTTGTTCTGTACCCCACCATGATTTTTCCTAATAGGCCTTGGGCTCTGGCCACTGGTAGCTGGATCTGACCATCCTCCTCATTAACAGTGATGTGTGCAGGTTCTAAAGCTGGAGAGATCAGACCCTCCTCAGGTGGGCTTATCTGGAACTGCAACAGCCCTAAAGGAAAGAAGAGTAAGAGAGAAGTAGGTAAAACATGGAAAACAGCAAGGAGAGGTCTTATCTTACAAAGTAAGCAATGGTTTAGATGTGTAACCCATCTTGAGAGTGAATACCATAAGGATGGTCACTTGCTGTGACAGTGACAGTATTAACAGAGTTATTGGGATCGATGCTGGCTCCGCTGGTGGGTGTGGAGCCCGGCTTCCCATCAGCTGACTCTGCTGACAGCAGTGCAACCTGAAAAGACTCTGCCAGCTCTGGGAGGTTATCATCATACACCAATAAGTTCAATACCTGAGGGACATATTGGGAAACAGTTACAATTAGGGTTTATATTTCAAATTCCAAAATAAACACCAGTCGTTGTGTTTATCTTTCAGCTTCCCATAAGACATCCACTCCATACATTTCAAATTTCTACCAGGCAACCTCTAGGAGGAGCTGTTTATCAAGAAACAAGACACCCAGGCTGTGGACCTTCTGTTAAGGTGCACAAGAGAAGCTTTTATAAAGTTAAAATTTCACTGTTCTGATATAAGCATTTCCTTAACACCTTTTGTGTAGATAGTGCACAAACAACTGTACTTTATTATTTACAGTAAACTTAGATGGTCTTTGCCAACATACTGAAGAGGTGACATATTGTGAGATTCTTACACAGACGCACCTCAGAGCGCTGTCCAGGCATGAAAAACACAGCTCCAGTTGCGTTCAAAAAGTCTTTGTGTGCTGGGCTGTCACTTTGCAAGCTGTCCAGCTGAGTAACAGTGTAGTTCACAGAGACATAATCCAGAGATCCCCGCAAGCGCTCAATCACACAAGATATGGTCGAGCCTTCCTCGGTGGTCTGTTGGGAAATGCATCAATCACACTTTATATACAGTTTTATCTTTTAGTTTGCCTCAGTATGTTAATAATAAATGAGAATGTCTCATTCTCTAAACTAAAAATCTACCGTAACATCTCTGGTAGAAACTATTTTCTGTCTCTACATAAACAGAGGAGACACTCAGGCTCTGATGGAATGCCATCTCCAGTCCCGCCATGGGTAGTATTGATTAAAAAAAGGAGCAGGTTCTCCTGTTTCCAGTGAAGAAATGACCGGATCGACTTCTAAAGGAATGCCCCCTCTAGCCTCACCAGCTGTCGCTCCACCTGAGATGGTACGCCACAGGAAGTGCATACGTCTAATAATATGAAAAGGAACAGTATGCACTCTCCCTGCAGCCTCACATACATAAAATATGCAAAAGCACAGGTATTGACACCCAGTGGATTTACATATTGCGCTTCCATGTATTTACTCTAAAGACAATATATGATATAAATGTCAGCAAGGTCCCTTTAAAGAAATTATTTTACTTCCTGTACTTTTTTAAAATGGTCGAGCACAATGCAATGGGTTTACCAAATGACATTTTAGAAAGGCAAACAGCCAATGGGAATTGGTTACCATAGAAATATAAATATTTTTTTTGGATAATGACTGCTTTTAGAGACAGCCAGTCATTTCAGTGGTGTTGATCTGTAACTCTCATTACGAGTGATGAGTGAAAATGATTATCTCAGGATTCACAAGGATGAACCCTGTTGACCTTTGGTAAATCAAAAATGTTACCATCACCAATTTTAGTTGAAGACAACAACTGGACATAATTTCAAAGATTCATATTATAATACAGAGATGGCAAAAGTACTCACTTTCCGTACTTGAGTAAAAGTACAGATACTTGTGTCAAAAAATACTCTGGTAAAAGCGGAAGTACTGATTAAACTTCTTTACTCAAGTAAAAGTAACAAAGTACAGGCTTGTAAATTTACTTAAAGTATAAAAGTAAAAGTAGAAACCACTTTTCATGCCGTTGCCTACATTTTAAATGGATGTCTGCCAATAGGACTAGATCTCCGTTGTGTTCATTTTCAATCATCTCGTCGTCCATGCTACTATGCTAACGCCACCGCCACCAAGCTGCAATGATTTGCCGCGAATGAATACCGCCGAATCTGTCGATTCATCTTGTAGTGGTGCGTCAAATGCAACGTAGATTCCCATCCAATTAGATTGAATTTGGTATTGATGACGTGAAAAATAATAATGGTAACTCCATTGAAATGATTCAAAACAAAAGTAACGAGCCAATTTTTAAAAATGTAAGGAGTAGAAAGTACAGATATTTGTGTAAAAATGTAAGGAGTAGAAGTAAAAAGTCGCCATAAAAATAAGTAGTAAAGTAAAGTAAAAATATCAGAAAAATCTACTTGAGTACAGTAACGAAGTATTTGTACTTCGTTACTTCCCATCTCTGTTATAATATCAACAAACATATACATGGTGGAAGAAGCCCCGCCGGCCAAAATCAGCCCTTAAAGGAATAGTACACCCAAAACATGATTAGCCTTCATTTTCTACTCACCCCCATGCTGAACAACACTCTGGAGTACTTTTTTGATATCTCAAATGCATCTGGAGATCTGGGAGGCTTCATGCTGTCTGCTGACATTCAAATAATGGAGGTCTATGGTGCCCGAGGCAGAAAGTTCCATGAAAGTCCACAAAAAACGTGTCAATATTCCTCCATACTGCTCGTCCAATGTATTCCAAGTGTCCTGAGTAGGTAGCATCCAGAATTTACTCGAAACGAAGTCATTTAGAATGTTTTTAGAGCATAAACAGTAGTGTATAGGATTTCCTGAAAGCGCGCACCTGCGCGTTCATGACGCTACGGAAGCCGGCAGACCAAACCAGATGAAAGTGCGCATTCAGCGTCTGCTCAGCCAATAATGCAAGCGTAGAAGAAGAAATGTGCTGTTTACCTGTGCAAAGAAAGAAACAACGAAAGAAAAATGTCTGAGGACTTCAGTGTTGAGGAAGAGCATGAGTTCTTTGCCGAGCTGAATGCGCACTTTCATCTGGTTTGGTCTGCCGCGGTTTCCGTAGCGTCGTGAACGCGCTTTCAGGAAATCCTATACACTACTGTTTATGCTCTAAAACCATTCTAAATGACTTCGTTTCGAGTAAATTCTGGATGCTACCCACTCAGGACACTTGGAATACATTGGACGAGCAATATGGAGGAATATTGACACGTTTTTTGTGGACTTTTATGGACCTTTCTGCCTCGGGCGCTGGGCACCTCCATTATTTGAATGTCAGCAGACAGCAAGAAGCCTCCCAGATCTCCAGATGCATTTGAGATATCAAAAAAGTACTCCAGAGTGTTGTTCAGCATGGGGGTGAGTAGAAAATGAAGGCTAATCATGTTTTGGGTGTACTATTCCTTTAAGCCCAAGCACCCCCTTTCAAGGGAGATGCAGCTCTTTTGCAACAATAATGAGCTTGTAGCTCACTAACTGTGAGACTAAGACACAATTATCATATGTCCAAATCTTCACCTGAGATTCCTCTACAAGACTATCCAATTAATTCTTATATCCACCGACCAAAAAGTGCTCAGAAAGCCAAAATGAAATTTTTGACCCAGTTTGTGTTTCAGAGGGCCTGGTTTCAATAACCCACGTGATGCTTTGCTAATGAAAGCAAACAAGACACGGAATCTGCAGAAAGTCATTAGCAAAACTCTGATCTTTTGTAACTGGCCAGTCAACAAATTCCTCCAAAAACCCCAGAAAAGCACATCAAATCTGTCCTACATTTGTTTTGTTTTTTTCATCAAAAGATGTTATCATCCAAATGAAAGTCTGTTTCTGGAATACGCTCAACCAATAGCTTATTTTCAGCAAAATGTTACTTTTTCTCTCTGTATTGCTACAGCAACATACCCATATTTGGAAGCTGTTCCTGTGCATAAAGCACAAATGCCTCTGCTACTCTCGTGTGTTATTCGCTGGAGCTTCTGTGTTTTGTAAACTGATTCAAATCATTGTTTTCTTTAGAATGTGAACTTTCCAAAGAGCTCTGAAGCGCCATGATTGGACAAATGTTTGTTTTTAGAGTTGCCCGTTTGTCCTCATGCATTTTTATCAATTTAGATTTGTGTATATAACGTCTTATTACAACATGTAAATAATGAGTGCTGAAAAAATAACGTGATATTTTGGAGGAAAACTATTTTTATTACCAAATATATAATATATATTTTATATATAAATTTATAGTAGCATTCAAATTTTTTAATTTCAAGAATAAATTCAAAATTTCAGATATTATGCCAAACACAGACACAGTAGTTGTTCACCTGGATTTTTTTTCAATCTAAGCATCTATAACTTGTCAGTTGCTTGTTAGATGGATGCCAAACTTACGACATATGTATCCAAGTTGTTGTACTTGCAGTTTATTATGTTTATTTCTTTTGTTAAAGGAAAATCAGAAGTTTTTATATGCAAAAATCTTTTTTTTTTTTTAGGCGTTATCTTTTTTTTTGGCTAGCTAAATCTTATTTACTCAGGCCCAGAATAATTTACTTTCTTTCACTTCATCCTCCAGGACCTTTATATCAGTTGATAACAAGATTAGCAGTTTAGGCAGTGTAAAATGTGTGAAATGCTTTATGAAGTATGAGTATGCCTTTGTTTGGAAATTGAACTGCGAGCTTAAAAGGTTAAAACCTTTTGGCCTACATGCAAACAATTACGTGTGAAAGCTAACACTGGGCCTCACCTTCAACACAGACTAGATGGTGAAGCCAGCAATATGATGACAGGGATTCTGTTCTTCAGCCCCTGAGGTGTTATAAGGTAAGATGCTGATCATGCTGAAGGTACATAGAGCTATACCAAAAGAACAGCTGCTATGCAGTATGACTGGGTTCAATTTTACAATTCAGCAGCACAACATCCCTAAAAATATGACAGCTACAGCTAAAAAAAATTTTATACTTAGATTACTCTCTGGAAAGTTACTCTAACTTTCCAGATCTCAATCCAATTAGGATACATGACAAAAAAAAAAAATTGCTTGGTTAAATCAGAAAAAAAATGTTGTTCATAGACACTTTGCACCCTCTCACTTAGAGCTATTTTAAAACAAAGAATGGGTAAGAATTACAATTTTTTTTTATGTGAAAAAGCTGGCAGAGACATATTGCAGAGGACAAGGAAATGTATTTTGATATCTTCCACATTGAAATCAGCTAATTATTAATGAACACATCAGACATTTTATTTTTGCATTGTTTACCTTCCATTGTTATGCACTTTTTTTAGTTTATCTTTGGGTCAAATTTGTTAGGTAAGTATAAAGCACAATTATAGATTGGACAATTGCAGAGATTGCTTTAAATACTGATCATCTGCAATGTTAATGCCTTACACTTACATCAGGTATGCAGTCCCCAGTGAATCCAAAAAGCCCATTTGCGTTGTCACTCTTCATAATCCTCAAAACAGCCGTGGGTCTGGGAAAGGGAAGGCGTGCACCACCATGCACATCCACCAGCTGCAGATAGAACACCTCCTCTCCCTCTTCCTCCTCATCATCCCTGGTTTCTACGATGAACGACTTCTGCCTCTCATCTTGGCGGTACCGCAGGTAACCTGAAATGTTTCGCAGGTCTGCTTTAGCAGGCTGAGAGTGGAGCTCGTGGATCTGGCTGCGGTTGAGCCTCATGTGGTACAGGCGAACATCCTGGAGAAGGCCGGTGTAGCGCTGTTCACCTTCGAGGTCTGAGCCTATGAACACTGAAGCTGGTCCTACAGTAGAAATACCAAAAACAGTGAAAATTACGTAATGCTTTTAATATAATCCAAATAAACATATTCTTTTATAATTTACTATCAAAGAATCTACAGTTATAACAAAACTTTACAAATAAGAAGTCTTTGCCACTTACTGAAAAGTAATCATCTAAATACATAGTGGAGTTTAGGTGTGCATATTGTAAATCCTTTATTGTCCCACAATGGGGAAATTCACTCTCTGCATTTAACTCATCCAATTGGCTGCCACTGTTGGTGCCTGGGGAGCAATCTGGGGTTGGGGGTCTTGCCCAGTTACCCAGAGTGGCAGTCCATGGGTCTTGAACTCAGAAGCTCTGGGACACAAGCGCAATGCTCTAAGCATGCTCTAACGCACCACTACCAAGGGCCCATGTTGCATGCTTACCAATTTTTAACTTTTGTAAATTGATATTATAAGATAAAACTTGCACTTAATGCATTTTTAGCTCAAAACTGGGCTTTCCGTATATCAAGCCAATCCAATTATTAGCATTTTAATAATGATAATAATTATTTGAATGTGTCAAACAAATAGCAAGGGGCATTTACATTAAATAGACCTTATAATAAAACAAAGTAGGTTGGGTTTAATGTACTACATTAAGACCACAAACAGAATCTTAATTAAAGCTACCAGATGCCTGGGTCCAGCTCCTTCTCATTATTCATTTATTTACTTGCACCACACACATCTCTTAAGTCCTGTACTTGTACGCAAGAGGCAAACATGTTTATCTGCAGTGAAACGCAACTTAAATTTCGCACAATGCAGTACATCAAGTTTCCTTGTGTTAACTAAATAGCACAGCATAACAACTTATCTTTTATGTCTCTTTGGTGACTGTTTATAGTAATAGAGGCACAAGGTATTTCCCCTCTTAGAGCCTTTCGCAAAGCACAGGCCATTGTCTGTAGTAATTAGACAGACTATGAAGAGAAGGAGATGCCGACTGATTTCTCTGAGCTGTGACAAAATCCAACAATGCGCAGGCTGTGGAGCCACTCAAGCATTGCAGAGCCCCGCAGCTCAGAACAATGAGGCAGCAACTGAAAGGTGGTAGGTGGGTGTGTGGGTGATGGAAGTCCACATACAATAACTGTATATACACAAACTAGACTTCCAGCAGTAGCTGAAAAAATAGAAGAGTTAGAAAGCACTTATAGCGGTTGCTTTAGTTCTTAATGAAACATTTTTAACATTGTGAAATAATTGTAAAGAAATATGTATAAGTAAACAAACACCTTAAACAATTTCCTATATCAACCACTTGCCATGGTGTCTTTATTAAGCACCACAGTCTAAGGTTCCATCTTCTCCCGCTTATTCCAGCAGCTTATAGAAGATGGATGGATGGACAGATGGATGGATGTAGTGTTTTGTTTATTTTTACAAGTTCAAATGAATTTGATACCTCGTCACTGACTTTTACACCAAATGTAATGGTAAGAATCATATTTAAATAATCCAAAGACTTACAAAAATCATCTGGATAATGTAAGAGAATTCTGTTAAGATCTTTCACTTTATATTGATTGACAACATGGATGCTATTTACATTGTGAGTGGCAGATTTTGCGCATTTTCTGACTAACTGTAGATTTAAAAAATAGGTCTTTTAATAAAGTTGCACAAAAGTAGATTTTGAAAAAAAAATGTGTTTTCTCTAGAGGCATGTTGGCTGCTCACTCAGAATGAAATAACAAAGCAAGGCTTCAGCAGATTCTGATCCTTATGCTGAAATGCCATTTAAATCTATTGCAGTTTTGGTCGTTTTTCACTGGACTGTTTTGAGTCCTTAAATAAGCAACATTTTAATGAAGTCCTTGACTTTCTGTCGGTGAAAGAAATATGTGTTTGTATTCTTTGAGTATCAGTAATGTAAGAGAATGCAGATCTCTAACACCCAGCAAGTGTTTCCATAAAGTGAACAAGCCCTTTTGGCAGTGATGAGAAAAGCTATTAAGCTTTGTCACACCTGATCATCCTGAGAATTTATACAGTAGAAGAAAAAGATCCCAGCGTAAGACAATAAAAATGTTTCCTACAAAAAAGATTTGAGCTATTTTCTAGACTCAGTTATTACCAAACCAACTCTTAGGGTTCACTTGTTGCTTTAAGACAATCAGTTTTTAAGTTTAGCCAAAACATTTCCAGTGGATCCAAGTCTGGACTATGCCTTTATCTGCAGTATTGCCTTGTAGCATTGTCTGTTTATTTCCAGGATCACTCTACATTTAGCTAAGTCTATATTTTTATCAGCTACCCTTACCCCCGCTTAACAGATATAATCCCCATATCTGTTCAGGTTTATGTGTGGTGTTAGTAGGTTATAAATACCTTTTTAGGGTACTGTAAATGTTGCAGTAGACTACTGAGATCCCTTCTTTACAGCACCATTATTTCAGAGCATGCATTTCATAGTAATGATGATCAATAGCAGACAAGAAAAACACAAGCACTTCAGAAAATATTCAGGGTATTTCAAAATAGCTGTTGAGAAAAGCAGCATACCATCATTGATGCCTTCCCCTTTGATGCTCCTCAGGCCTCTAGGTATAGAAGTCCCATCCAAGAAGAACTCAATAATTCCATCATCAACAGTAATGATGATATGTAGCCATGTATTTTCTTCCACAAACTTCTCTGCTGTGGCCCTTGCCACTTGGGTATTATTTGAACCTATAACTGTGTAGTACAGCATCACGGTAACATGTGATTCATTGCAGTGGACTTTTACTCCATAGTACAAGCTTCCATTGCTTGTTCCTTTGGACACTATGAAGCCATCAGTGTTTAGTCTGGGTGCCAGCCAAGCTGAGAAGGTGAAGTTACCAACGGCTGCAGGTGCATCTTCAGGGGAGATGGTACCGTAAGCTCCTGGAAGGCCAGAGAAGAACCAAGTGTCTGTAGCTGAGTGGTGTCTCCTAGCATGAGGCCTGAGCTGGACCTCATTTGGAAAAGAGGCTTGCAGCAGCAGATCGTTCATGAGAGGAAGACCTTGTGGGAATCTTGCAGACACTATCTCCCAGGAAACTCGTACAACGCCAAAAGAGCCCTGCTGTCGGAGTATGGTGAAGGAGGTAACATCCGACATATCATTTTCATCAAGCACATCCTCAGCAACTTCTTGGTCCAAGTTGTCCAGAGAAATGGCAAAAACACCAAATGGGTCATCGTTGAAAGGAATAAGGACTGAGGCATTTAGAGAGGTCTCAGCAAGTCGCCCCCCTCCCCCTGGGTAACCACCTGAAAGAACACAAGCATGGAGTTAAATAATATTCATTTTATTTTAAACACTGTCTGAAATCTTAAAGTAATGGACTCAGATCCATTTGTTTAATAAATCTGAGCTAATAATTACCTGAAATATTGACAAGCCTGAGGACGAAGAACTCATTAAACTCTGGACGTTTATCAGAGATGGCCTCAAGGCTGATAGGTTTACTTTCCTCCCCAGTAATAAAGGTGATGGAGCCAGACATGTTTGCAAACTCCTGGTTTTCTTCGAGAGGTGTAGCTGAGTCATTGGCAAACAGCTGCCAGAAGACAGTAACATTACCAAAGTGTCCCCTTGCTCGTAGAACACTGGACAAAAAGAAGAAAACATTACAAGGCATGACCAACTAAGTTAAAAAAAAATGTAAACACATTTGTTAACATAAACGTGAAGTGAGGAACTGTTTCTTACAAAAAACTGTTGGTCTTGCCTTCTTCCACAGGTTTTTCTACACTTTCTAGAGAAAAAACTCCATTGGCATCGTCATTGGCCTCAATCACCACAGTAGCTGTGTCTGCACCATAAACCACAGCATCGCCTGTGTGCACATTGGGTTAGATCAGAACCTAAATCAATGTACCGTAAAAGTAGAAATATAGACATGCTGATAATAAACCAGAGTCAAAGCCAAAAAATAAATAAAAGTTAAAATGGGGTCTGAAAAAAGGGGTTCCATAATTAGGCCCCTTTTAGAGTTTTCTAAAAAAATAAACAAGGCATACAAAGTTACTTGTAGGCTATATTTAGCTAAAATTACTTTTTCCCATAACTGCTCTGAAAAGACCACACAGCAAGTTGCCAGACTATGAGCACATCATACCAACCGTGTAACCAAGCAATGCTACTTGCAATTAAGCAGGCAAAATAAAAAGTGTAAAGCCTCAATGAGCAGCTGGTTTGGGTTTAATACCAGAACTGCTGCAAACCAGAGGTGACCTAATACTCATTATATTCAAAATAATATAAAGCTCACAGCTTTATGTATTGTACTAATAACTTGGTAGTTTTTATCTACACTAACATAAGCCTGGAGAAAGAATTTATAAAAGAGAGGTATTAAAGGTGAGCTAATCTAAATAGCCACATTTATCCTGAGTAAATTTAACAAAGACATTTCATATTTTTAGAGGGCCAACACTTACACATAATTCCAGAAATACACTATATTGCCAAAAGTATTTGCTCACCTGCCTTGACTCACATATGAGCTTAAGTGACATCCCGTTCCTAATCCATAGGGTTCAATATGACGTCGGTCCACCCTTTGCAGCTAGAACAGCTTCAACTCTTCTGGGAAGGCTGTCCACAAGGTTTAGGAGTGTGTTTATGGGAATTTTTGACCATTCTTCCAGAAGCGCATTTGTGAGGTCGCACACTGATGTTGGACGAGAAGGCCTGGCTCTCAGTCTCCGCTCTAATTCATCCCAAAGGTGTTCTATCGGGTTGAGGTCAGGACTCTGTGCAGGCCAGTCAAGTTCATCCACACCAGACTCTGTCATCCATGTCTTTATGGACCTTGCTTTGTGCACTGGTGCACAGTCATGTTGGAAGAGGAAGGGGCCAGCTCCAAACTGTTCCCACAAAGTTGGGAGCATGGAATTGTCCAAAATGTCTTGGTATGCTGAAGCATTCAGAGTTCCTTTCACTGGAACTAAGGGGCCAAGCCCAGCTCCTGAAAAACAACCCCACACCATAATCCCCCCTCCAACAAACTTTACACTTGGCACAATGCAGTCAGACAAGTACCGTTCTCCTGGCAACCGCCAAACCCAGACCCGTCCATCAGATTGCCAGATGGAGAAGCGCGATTCGTCACTCCAGAGAACGCGTCTCCACTGCTCTAGAGTCCAGTGGCGGCGTGCTTTACACCACCGCATCCGACGCTTTGCATTGCACTTGGTGATGTATGGCTTGGATGCAGCTGCTCGACCATGGAAACCCATTCCATGAAGCTCTCTGCACACTGTTCTTGAGCTAATCTGAAGGCCACATGAAGTTTGGAGGTCTGTAGTGATTGACTCTGCAGAAAGTTGGCGACCTCTTCGCACTATGCGCGTCAGCATCCGCTGACCCCGCTCCGTCAGTTTACGTGGCCTACCACTTCGTGGCTGAGTTGCTGTCGTTCCCAAACACTTCCATTTTCTTATAATACAGCTGACAGTTGACTGTGGAATATTTAGGAGCGAGGAAATTTCACGACTGGATTTGTTGCACAGGTGGCATCCTATCACAGTTCCACGCTGGAATTCACTGAGCTCCTGAGAGCGACCCATTCTTTCACAAATGTTTGTAAAAACAGTCTGCATGCCTAGGTGCTTGAATTTATACACCTGTGGCCATGGAAGTGATTGGAACACCTGATTCCAATAATTTGGATGGGTGAGCAAATACTTTTGGCAATATAGTGTATATGTATATGAACTAAAACACATCACCTTAAAAAACTATTACAAAATATGTGTTTTATTTGGATTTTATGATACATCAACATGATTGCAGAGAAATTTGGTATGTTAGAACAGGAGGTTGAAAAAAAAAAACATAAATGTAGCTTTTAAAGAGATTTAAATATACAAATCTTTTATAGAAACAACTTAAAGTGTGTTGCAAAGGTTCAGAGGTACACTGCAAAATACTGAAATATATGCAGGTCAATTATAATCTGAGTAGATAAGACAATCTGCCAATGAAATAAGACGATTTACATAAAAAAAAAAAAAAAAACTCCAATACTTTTTTTCATGTGCATTAAACTCCAATGATCTTATTTCAAAAGCAAAATATTTATTCTATTGGCAGATCATCTTATAGAGCTGCTTAAATTACGGGCTAATATGCTAAATTTAAGATATTTTTTTACTGAATTTTGGATTGGTTTTTGCAGTGACATATAGAAGAAAGTGCTCAGTTTAAGATAAGATGAAAGTCTAACTGTCATGCATTAATGCAAATATACTACCAGTTTAGCAGAAACAGCTTAATCGCTATGAGTTAATGAAAAGAGCTAAACAAGAAGAAACTTGGTCAGAGGCGACAAAAGAAGCTTGAATATTGTACCCACCTGTGGTGTTATATAAAACAATGTAAAAGGGTTCATCTGTTTCCGGTATGTCATCGTCTTCAATAATCACTGAAATGTTTTTCATCCATTCTCCCACATCAAACACTAACAATGTGGTGATTGTTAGAACAGTAAAGTCATCTGGTGAGGCGCTACCAAAATCCACTCGATACTTCACAGTAGCCATAAAGTCAGCTCGACCCGCCCTCAGGACCGTGAGATTAGCAGCGTCTCCCTCAGCAACACGCACAGTGACTGGTTCTGAGATGGGCAAGTTAGTTTGAGGAGAGGAAAGATGGATAAATTATTGGAGCTATTACATATAAATATTGAAGAATTTTTAATATGTTAGCTGTAATGTTACCGGAAAAATATATGGGGTCATCGTTCTTATTAATCCACAAATTGGCACTAAGTAAGTCTCCCAGTCTTGCTCCACCAGTTGCATTGTACAGTGTAATGGTGAAGTTTTCCTTGTCTTCTGGAATCTTATAAAAACAGAATAATAATAAACATTAAAAGACATTTAGTTAAGAAGTCTACAAGATTTTATAGGCTAAGTCTAAGAAGTTACCTCATCAGGTACAGAGGAGAGGGTGAGGTTTTTCAAGTACTCTCCTTCTTGGAAGGTAATGTTTCCATGCACAGGCATTACATCTCCTGCCAGAGCTGGTTCCAGGACCCACAACACTGACACTTCCCCAAAGTGACCCCTATTCCTCACCACAGGGTACACAGCTGAAAGACAAACTATGAGTTGTATTGCCAAAGGCTCATATCATCTTGAATATGTTTTCTCTGCAAAATGATTTTTATTAATTCCCCTTCCCCAATTCCCATTCTCTTTGTTCAAACAGATTCAGTGCAGATAATAGGTCTGAGCATTAAGGAGAATCCACCTTCCATGTAAAATTTAGCTCATTAGCTCACTTACCCTGTTGTGGTGTCTCTCCTTTGCTCTCATCAATGGTCATTGTAAGTCCTGACTGGATAAACTCAATAACTCCAAAAGGGTCATCATTGTTGCGGACAGTAATGTTGACCTCCCTGTGGTCGCCTAGACGACTTGGCGGAGTACTGTGGCTGCTGAGTACCACAGAGAATGTCTCATCGAGCTATATGAACATACAAGCAGGTGTAAAATAGAAAAACATGTTTTAGGACACTACTGCCAAATTAAAGCCATCTCATTTCCAACTATTGCCTAACCTCTGGTATTCCATCAGGCTTTGCAACCAGGGCCACCACCACCTCTCTCTCCCCAGGTTTAAACTCAAGGATGCCTGTAGCTCCATAGAATTCAGCACTGCCTGATGGTGACACTGTGTATCTTATCAACTGTTTCAGGAGTTGTCCTTGAGCTCTGACCACACGAAGCTCCACAGCTTCACCCTCCTTGGTTTAAGATGGACAGACCAGAGAAAAATTAATGAATATCAGCTAATACTTAAACCAAGAGGAACCTCTACAATCCTAATGCCAACATAAACAGTCTTGGTATATTTTCTCATGATGAAATTATAATAAAATCAAACAAAATTTCTTAGGCAAGAAAGAATTTGGATTATCTCATCCGCACAGGGTGATATAGACTTAAATGTAAACATGTACGCATTCATATTTCAACGTAGGTACCTAAGCATGTTGTAGAAAAACAATATCCTGTCTTTGCCTAACAAGTTCTCATCAATTTCAAGTAGAGTTTTTGCTAATATTCTCATCAAAAATAGTTTTTCTTTTGGTTGGAGTCCTAATTCGACTTTATGGGAATTCGACAAATTTCTAATAGGGTTGAGGTCAAGGCTGTACCAAGGGCAAGTAGCTACGGTTGTTTTGCAAAGCGATTAATCCGCTGATTTTTTTCCCGATTAATAATTGGACAGTAAAAGTTATTTAAAGATTTTTTTTACAGACTTTTCTACTTGAGTTCTGGATAGAGCACATTGACAGACGAAAAGGCTTTTAATCTTAAATGCAAAATATTTATATATGTTATTACAATTTTCATATAATTATTGCTCTAAGAGGGTTGCTCTGTCAGCTAAAGGCGTGTTTTAAGGTCTCTATACTCCAGTTAATAATTAATCGATTACTAAATTAGTTGATGATTATTTAAATTATTGTTTAGTCAAGATTAATTTTAGCTGTAGCATTGTTAACAAAATAAATCCTCATCAAAATGGTGCCAGCACCATGTTGGGCAGCTGGTACAGTAATGTAAGGGATGAAAGCCTTGCCCTTATTACTCCAATCATCCTTACTGCTTTTTCAGCATAAAAGAGAGTTAGAAAAAAGCATTTCAATTATTGTACAAGTTAATACCATGAAACAAACCAATTTAAAACAGCTTTACCATTTAAAATGAGAGCAAAGAACCTGATATAAAGCTCACAATTTTAATCACAGCTATATAAACAATCTAGATTGTCGATAATAAAAAGTCTAAATGAAAATCACATCAGATTTTAGGATGGGAGAATGTAAACTTCTAACCTGACATGGAGATTGCTATTTCTTATGTTGCTGTGTTAAATTTAACCTTACGTTGACAAACCAAGGACCTCTGGAGAATTGGGAAAATTCAAACACTCCGCCAGGATCATCGTTCTCCATGATAACGATCTCTCTACTGGTGAAGCCTGCTTTCAGGATCTGATTCTCCACGTTAGTCCTACAAATCAAAATTCATGAATATAAAGAGAAACAGACAAGACTAGTAACAGATCATACAGAGAGAATACAAAAAGATTTGCTTAATACAAACTGGATGTTTCGAGTATTTTGCATTTCCAGTTTGCAGAAACCTCTGCCATGGCAGTCTGCTTTTTACTACAACCTAAATTTGTTCTTGTTTTTATTTCAACATCTTAAAACTCCCACAACAGCACCTAAAGCTTTTTATTGTAAACTTCTTAATGCATTCCTTGTATTGTCTGGTGCACATTCATTATTAATTCCATATGCTGACCCCCTGCTGATTAAACCACTTTTAATAACAATGTCAGTCAAGTATTTGTGTGTCAGTATGTGGGTATGTGTGTGAGTTTCTATAACTCCAAAGGGGTGTGTTTATGTGTGCATGCTAAGAAAATTGGAGCCAAGCTAGCATACTATAATGAGCATCACAAAGAAACGGTTTACAAAGAAGGATTTAAGCACTTCAAACAGTCTCAGCCAATGAGCTGCATGCATTAAAACACCATCTTTAAAAACTACATAATCAAGGCTGGTTAAATTAGTGCAAAACACATACTCTCACGACAAAAAAACTCTGTTTGATTACGTTTTTCACACCATGGCAGCATTCCCCAATCTATTCTTGCCCCCTCTACATTCCCTTCCCAGACCAATACCCCAGAAATCCAGAAGTAGGCACTTGTCTGAAAAGAGAAGGACTTTATTCAAGTTACACAAAGGGCCCAGGTTCACTCCACTCTCCACTTACCCAAAGTACACTATAAAGTGTGCAGCCTCCACCCTGCAGGAGAGGAGTGGGAGGGAGAGAAAGCCATGGTTCTCATCAGACCACAGGCTAAAAGATGTAACAAAACCCCCATGTCCACCAAGCACACGATAAAAATGGCCTTTTAGAAACTCTATGAAACACTTCACTTTCTATTTTCTTCTGTATGTCCAAACAATATACACATTTATGCCATGCATGCAAACTGGCCAACTTTTAGCTTGATGGACCATGACTGGCTTATATTGAACCCGGAAAAAAAACAGGGCACATATTCATGAAGAATCCTAAAAACAGCTTTTGGTGATCCCATTTTAGAAAAAAAAAACATTGTAGAATTTCTTAAACTCTAACAATGTTTCAAATAGATGTTACGACAAAAGCTTCCCACACAGCACCAGAAAACATTGTTGTGTTGTAAAAAATGATGTTAATATCCTTAGCCTGATTGGTTATCTAGACATTGTTTTGTGTGATGTTATCTTTCTTTGGCTTTTGTCTAAGGACCAGCGCAAATTTCCCGCAAAGAAAAAGACAACAACACACGTAAAAGTCTGCCTCTTTCGCCATGAATTGCCACCCAATGCCATCTCTCTACCGGGCTCAGTCTAACGTCTTGTTTTTGGTTATACAGTTTAAGCAGTCAAATCTCTTTAGAGCATTCGGTCTTACAAGACACAAACAGATATTGTGAGGTGTGCACTTCTAAATCCTGGGGTTTCTTCTTACAGTTTGAGCTGTAGCTGAGAAAGATTGAAGACATCGTACAGCAGGTGCCAGCCATTACAAACATAGGAATTTCTGTCAACTCCTTGCTTAGAGTTGCTCTAAGCAATCATCTGTATTAGTCTTAAGCTAAAATTTCTCAGCAGACATTTTATGATGGAAGCTTTCTAAAATGACCATGAAAATCTTTGTACAGGGCATGAGTTTTTTCTGTTCTTTTTATTCAGATCGACTGGCAATAAACCAAATTAAACCAATTTAAAACCAAATTAGATTTTCTATAACATGTCAAAATATGTTTCCAAATATTCAGGCTGCAGGAAAGCAGGAATAAAAGTAATTTCAATAAATAACAGGAATTGAATATTTTGGCTTTTTTAAGTTAAGAGTTAAGCAAATTTCCTAAATTCTTAATAAATGCACTGATTGTGAATATAGGACGCTAAAAAGCAGGTAAAGCAATCTTCTATTGCAATCACTCTCAAATCTGAGCCTTCCTTGCAAAACATGTAAATCATGACCATTCATAACTGCAAGTCTATAAATAAATAATTTAAAAATCTACAATTATTTTTAGAAATGTGTTGCAACTGAACATAATCCCAACATTTTGTTTGGTGCAATACTATAATGTCAAAGAACAACAACTTATATATACCTGTCCAGGGTGAGAAGCAAGGTTTCATTGACCTCAGGGATATCATCAGCCATGATGGTTAGATTAATAAAGGCGTCACTTTGCCTCGAGAGGAAGACAACAGAGCCATTAAATGGTGCCAGATCATCAGCAGTTACATCCTTACGACTTGCACCAATTGGCTGAAGGCTCCAGAACACCTCAGCCTGACCATCTGTCCCATCCCGCCGCAGAGGGAGGCTAACCTAGAAACAGAAAAGTAAAAAAAAAAAAAAAAGCAAATGCATAAAACAATAAATCTCAAAATATCAGTTTTTTGTCAATTTTATAAAGCAAAAAAATCAAAACAATAGCAATACACATATCTTACCATGCTGGTATTGCTGTTCTCTGGTTCATAGAGCACCACTGTAGTGTTATTTGTGAAGCCGATTTCCCCATTAGCAATATCAGGGGTGACAGTCAATGTCAGGTTAAGAGGTCCCCCGAACCTTGGGCTGTTTGAAGGAATTGATGGGGTGATATCAACCAGCTCCAGTGTATTTAACTGGAAACAAGGGAAAAGATTCAATTTACAGAAGCTGATGAGCTTATATAAATGTTGATAGGATATCATTGCACTGGCCTGCTAAACAATATTAGCTTTTACTGTAATGCTTTAATAAAAGTGCTCTATTCACTTATTACCTAAATAAACATCTAGCTGTAAAGCTTCTTAACTGCGTTTGTGTGATTGTTTACATTTCTATAGAACATCAAGTAGGGTTTTCTAGCAGCTGTTGCTCATTTTTAGGGTTAGTGGTTTGTTTAGACGGCCGGGCAAATCCCATAGAGCCTTGCCAGACCTGAGTGCCAATGTATGCCAACTATTCACACATGCAGATGAGGCCCTTAAACTTTGGATGACTTTTATTTAACCAAAAGTACAAACCCAAATGGAAGTAATGCATTATTTTTAGATCTGTAACCACTAAATTGCAATTCTGTTCCATTTTTAGATACCTGAATATGGAAATGTGCTCCATTTTGCAGAAAGGCATCATTCCGGATAGGCAGTATAACGTGGACCGTCCGTTGATGAGAAAACAAAACATTAACAGACCTGCTAACATTCAGAACCTGGTCTTGGGCCAGATCAGGGTCCACTGGACCTGCAGGAATATAGTGCGCAGTCAGGGCCATGGAGACGTTACCCAGCATGCCACCATCTCTCACAAAATTGAGAGAGAGGAATCGTCCCTGGGGTTGGCTCTGAATACTCTGTTCCTTGGCTGGGTCAAACCGGAAAAGTCCATAAACATCGTCGCTGTCCTGGATATAAAACACCATCTAAGGGAAAATTTAAGAAGGAAGGAATACAGGTAATAAATGAGAAAAAAAATGATTCAATGAATTATCAAAAGCAAAGATTTCTGTAATCAATACATATAGGTATATTTTCCCACTTAGTTCTAAGTAGGATAGCTGGCTGATTTAACATGAATTACATCAGAGTAGTGTTGTAGTCAAGACCACACCAACCTACACCAAGGAGTAACAAGACAAAGCCTTTTCAGGACAAGACCATATAAGGTATTGGTCTTGAAATGTCTTGGCATTTTCTCTGTCCTCGGTACTCCTAGGTCTTGGTTGGTGTGGTCTTGAATGCAACACTAGATTGGAGGAATTCAGTGAATCCCTAAATTTGATCTAAATAATTGGATAAAGGCTCTGGCCAATTTTATTAGTGAATCTCATATTTATCTAAACTCCCAAAAACTCTATCATTGAAGTGTATCAGAAATGTTTGGATTTTTTTACACTTTATAGTGGCGATCACTTCCTATCTCTGTTATGTGACCTTCCCTACACACGTTGCCTAACAGCTTTGAAAATGTGTTAAAATGCACAGAGAGCACTTGAAACACCTAAATATAAGATGGTTAAAGTAAACAGCTTCCTTTATGAAAATGAGGAAAAACTATAGTATTTTTGTGATTCTGTATATGATATCCAAAATATCCACTTAGGCTCAAGGGACCTTTATTTCTATAGCACATTTCAGTGGCAAGTGGCAAATAATTAGAAAGCAGAAAATGTAAATAATTAATGACAATAAACCTAAATAATATTAAATAACATGATTATTAAAAATAATTAAAAAGAGGACATTTGGACTGAAAATTGTAAGATAATGTTTCGATAGCAGTCAAAGGCCACTCTATACTAATGCATCTTAGCCTTTTTACAGTTTTCTGGGAGTTAATTCCAGATTAGTGGAGCATAGAAGCTAATAAATGCTGCTTCTCCATTTTTGGTTCATTTTGTCCCATATTGCGACTTACACCTAAAGCTTATAGTGGCACATGATCTGGATCATAACCAAATTCAAATAAAATATTAATTAAAATCATGACCATAAAAAAACTAAGACAGACACAAACTCTCCTAAAAACATAACTTCCTTGGAGGAAGTAAGTAGAGCCAGAAGATCTGAGAAGTCTAGGCATTAGATTCACTGATAAAAGTTCTGCAATGTATTTTTTTGAAGCTATTAAGTTATTTCTAAATTAATATAAGTTGTTAAAAGTCTATTCTTGGAGTTACGGGGAGCCAGTGTAACCATCGGAGAACTGGGGTGATGTGCTCCACTTTCTTAGTTTGGGTGAAGATGTGAAGCTATTAGTAAAAAATAACATTAACCAATTACCGAACATTATAGCAGTTTGCTTCAATATAACATCTATTATTGTTTAAATAAAAAGATTTTAGTATTATTGGAAAGATAAATCGGAAGAAAGATGTAGTAGACATGAAGCAACTATTTACTGTAGTTAAAACTACAGGATTTCTTAGCATGGACAGTTAGAATTAAATTTAGCTACAACCTGGCTCATTGTTAAAAATAATTAAGAAGTATCATAAAAAAAAGTTTTTAATTTTGCTTTCAAATGGGTATACAGCTATGTATATCATTCTCCATAATATGAAAAATTACTTTTAATTAAAACCTTAAAACACTTCACATCAACATTTCACATGTCTCTATTTTTATCTTTAACTGTTCTTATTAAGTTAAATTTGTTGAACTTATACTTTCTCATATTCAAGTTGATACCAGGATCGGAAAGAAATATTTCTTTGAAATAAAAAAAAAGTTATCTAAATCTTCTAGGAGCATGAAACTCCCCCCCCCCCCCCCCCCCCCCCCCCCCCGTTATTTTGTGCTAATACTTATAAAAGTGACGTATGTTGTGCCATATGCCATGATCATACTTTTTGGACATTGGGAAGCAGTGTCCATATTTCATCCTGATAGGATGACCAGAGAAGAAAACGCAGCCTTGGTGAATAACAGCTGGGGGACTTCAGCAGCCCCCCTTTTTCAGCCAGCAAGTCACATGGAAGTCACAGAGGTGTGAAAACCTACCCCCCTCTGTGAGGGCAGAACAAAACCACAGAGCACACAGGATTCTTCCTCTCTCTTCCTCTTCACTTTTTCTCCCTCGTCTGATCCAGCCTGCTTCTGCTCCTGCGCTCAAAGCTGGGGCCCACTGTGGCCCACAGTGGAGATGCAGGCCCCAGGGAAACCAGATCCCCAGAACCATCAAGGATGAGTCAGAACTCTTCAGAACCTAACTGCTGCAAACAGAACCTTTGCAACACATTTCTCTTGAGTTTCAGAACTTACAGAGCCAAACTGGATGAAGACCATGCCCTGGTGTGAGACTGAGGGGACCCCTGCTGTGAGACTGAGACAAAGAACCCCTGACTGCAGAGCTGCAAAACTGGATGAAACTCAAGCTTTCCAAATGGACATGGAAAAGGTTTGCAGGTCTGGCATGATTAGGGACAGAACAAGCAATGTGTCTTTTGATGATGCTAATCATATCGTGTGTTTACTGCTGAGTAAAGGCAACGCTAATTGATGCTAAAGAATGGACTGCATGCTACGCTATGCTACAGGAATATATGTTGAGCTGTTGCTAAAGCTTAGACAAGCTTTATTCACTAAGGATTTAAACACTGAAATAACATTAGTGTTTATGTGTTCCTCAAATGCTCATTACATTTCCATTACCAAGTATGACCAAGAGTCATTTAAGGGAAGCCTGATGTCTATTCGCTGCTAGCTACTTTAAAGAGGGTAAAGAATCATTTAACTAAAGGTTTTTGGTTCTTGATTAAGCAAATCATTTAATAAAACATTATTTGGCCAAATAATGTTTTATTCACCTCATGGATTTGCATTGTCAATTGGTCTGAAAACATTCCAATTTCTTTAAAATTAGTGAAAAGCTAATTTGATCACATTCCAAATTCTTCCAGATAAACTTTGGTTTCAAACACAGAATCCATCTTAAACTGTAATATGTTTTTCAACCGTTTTCCCCTTCCTCTTTGTACATAGTAGTTAGTTTAGTTTAGTTGAGTTTTACTAGTCTTAGTTGAGAGTGTTAAACTGAAATATGTTTGACTTGGAGCTGAATGATTTTTGTTAATAAAATCTTATATTTTGAACAGAAGTTGTGGTGAATTTATTCCATGTATGTGCAGAAATAACTGTCGAATCACTCTTTCATTTATTGTTCTAACACACAGTTAGTAGGACTGTGTGTCATAAACAGTATATAACAGCTGAAATAATATCTGATTAAATAAGATATTTTACCACCCCTACAGGGGAGGGCAATAAACATCTTAAAGTATCAGAAACATAAATTCCCAGCGGGCTGGGAATAGAATTTAACTATAGAATCACAACATAAATATGGCGTCCCTGATTGCTGGGCCCATTAATTGTAACATTTATTTAGCGTCCCATGCTGCTGGACTCATTGAATGTAACATTTAATTGGTGTCTCAGTTTGGTGGTCATCGAATATAACGGTCATTCTGCACATATATGAGAATAAACCATTATTGAAAACCGTGTGAAAGCATTAACATCAGCTCTCACCACTCAATAATGAAATCTTAAAGTCACAACCTAAGAATCCAAAACTAAATGTCTTAGCTTATATGAGAAGAAAATATAACCTTTGACATTCTTGGAGCATCAAAATATAGAAAATTTAACTAAATCTAGTAACTCCAAAATATCTCTTCAGCTAGTGATAACCAACTTTACTTCAAAGCAAAACTCAGATGATTCAAATCAATCTGATCACTTTGGTCCAACTAAAACTAAAAGATTTAACTCCCAAGTTAATCTTATTGTTCGACCAAAATTTATGCACATCTATAACTAGATGCTGCCATTTGTGGTTTCTATAACCACATCCCAAAAATGAAAATTCCCAAGTTGTGCTATTTCAAAGTCACCTCGAGTCCAAAATAGGTTAGATGCCTCGAAATTTAACCTAAATCCCTTTGTCTATTAGTCTAATAAGACTCCTAAACACTTATTTAATATTGTGTAGAACAAGATTTGTTGCCAGATTTAACGTAAGTTAATCTGTGATCCTACCCAACCGAAAGGGGGTGGATTCAAATTAAATTGCTTAAAATCCCTTAAAGAAAGGTGAATCATAAGCTAATTTGCTAGTAAATCCTTAAAAAGGTAAGCTTTGCGCCAAACTGCTTATAAATCCTCAGAGACAGGTAAAGCATGTGCTAAAATAGCTAATAAATCCTAAAACAAGGTGTAGCATTTTTAACACTGAAAGAAAAGCGTTTCTTTGATATCACAGAAAAGGGTGAAGCATAAGCAAAATTGCTTGTAAGTCCTTAAAAGGTAAGCTTTGCGCCAAACTGCTTATAAATCCTCAGAGACAGGTAAAGCATGCGCTAAAATAGCTAGTAAATCCTAAACAAGGTGTAGCATTTCTAACACTGAAAGAAAAGTGTTTCTTTAATATCACAGGTTTAAAGATAACCCGTGACCCGTTTCTACACACATAAAAATAAGTCCTTATAATATGTATATGTAAATATACAAGTATAGTGGGTATTGACTGGATTGTGTTCTTTTGAAATTTCTTCATAACTTGTGTTTTTGTGCCATCAGCTGAAAATGGATCCAAGCATCCTCAATTCTGGGCACATAATTGACTCCATAGGCATAGAGAAACAGAAACAAATTGTTGCAAAGCTTATCCACTTATCTCCAGAAAAGCAGGATAACCTAAACAATTTTAACCTCAGCCTATTGAAGAAAAGATTCAAGAATTAATTAACTTAATTCAAAACCCAAATGGAAACTTTCTGATAACAGATGTACTCTGTGAGCTCACGCTTCTTTATCAGCTTAAATCCCAAATAAAAGCTAAACAGTACTCTGAGTTAGAAGCCAAATATCAGATGATCTGCCACAGAGTAAGTGCTGCAAACATTTTATTGTCAGGAGCTGACAAGATCAAAGACCCATGTGGCCAGACTGACCATGCCTCAGAACAAACAGTGACCCCCCTCTTGGAGGAGCTATGCAATAAACAAAGCAAGCAGACTTTGAATCAGCAGGAGGTCACCCCAGTCAAAAGGAGAACAGCTCCTGAAGCAGATACAAAGTCTCTAAACTCTGAGTTAACACTAAATAGATCTGAAGATGTTCAAAGTCAAAGTAGTGTCGCAGACAGAGAGAAACAAGTAGATCACTTGATAAACTCAAGCAGTTTAAAATTTTGCAAAGGACAGCCATGCAAACCAATCTCTGTCTCACACTCCGCTGACCGAGCACCAAGTGCCAAAGTTCACAGCTTGAAATACTCTGAGGAGAACCAGTCTCCCTTGTGTCATCAAAGGTTAGCTGAAAACCCCCCACCACTTAATGAGCAGAACCAGCTTCCTGACGGGCCAGGTCCACCGAGTGACCATAGAATTCAACAAATTGAATCCTTGGCCAAAGACATTGATATTTTTGACCCAGAAAATCAACACTCCAACATAGCTGATTATCTGCAAGAAGTTGAGCACTGTCTAAAAGACTTGACATTTCCTTCTTCTCGTGAAAAATTGAAGCTGATTTGGAAAACAACAGCTAGAAGCGTCCATGTTTTCATAAAATCTCTTCCTCCAAAAATCAGAGAAAGTTATTTAGCTCTTTGTCAAACCTTAAGAGAAGAATATTCTGGTTACAGAGATCCGGCGTTAGCAACGCTTGAGGCATCTTTAGTTCTCCAAGGAGAACATGAAACACCCAGAGAATATTACTTTCGCTTGAGACAGGTTTATTTTGAGGGCTGCAGTTCTCCAGATATTGACGAAGATGATCCCACATTTAAAGCATTGTTCATCCAAAATCTTCATGAAAGTGTACGATATGATGTAGCAATGCATTGCAGGATAGAGAACCTTTCTATGCAGGAAACTCGCAGATATGCTCAGCTTGTTTGGGAAATACGTCTCAAATCAGATAGATTTCAAAGCAAGCTTAGAGTCTTTAACCTTCAAACAAAGAACAGGACCAGAAACAGACACAGATTCAGTTCCCCTGTGGTTAACCAAGATGAAGGTCATAAGCCTTCACATCACAATGCAAAACCAAAGGTTTACACTGGTAAAGGGGGACATCAACAAGTTACAGAAACAACCACAAAAGAAAACTTAGAACAGATCTGCAAAACAGTTCTTACAGAGCTACTGGCTTCTCTGACCAATCACAAGGTACCACAATTCCAAGCTAATGGTAAAACTTATCATATCCAAGAGTATGATAGTTGCTGATAATTTCTAACATACTTTAACCTGTTTTATCCTTTCTTTTGTTTCACAACTTGAGAAATGATGAAGGTTGAACAACAGCATCATGAAGGTGTTAGGAAATTTTGTTTGGAATGTATATATTTGTGTATCAGGGTCAGACTTTCCTGCCAGACCTGCTTCAACCAGACGCAAAACCTCTGGAGAAAATGAACTGTTTTATGATAAGATAGGGTCAGCTTCTGCCAGACCTGCAAGAAATCATCCAGGGACAAACACTGGAGAAGATATGAACCCTAAATGAACTTTCTTCCTGCCAACAGGAACCTGACTCATCACCGCTCCAGATCTCATGGCTTTATGGACCTATTTGTGATCTGAAAACAAAGAACTGCATCTTTTATTTCCAGATCAAAAGGGGGATATGTTGTGCCATATGCCATGATCATACTTTTTGGACATTGGGAAGCAGTTTCCATATTTCATCCTGATAGGATGACCAGAGAAGAAAACGCAGCCTTGGTGAATAACAGCTGGGGGACTTCAGCAGCCCCCCTTTTTCAGCCAGCAAGTCACATGGAAGTCACAGAGGTGTGAAAACCTACCCCCCTCTGTGAGGGCAGAACAAAACCACAGAGCACACAGGATTCTTCCTCTCTCTTCCTCTTCACTTTTTCTCCCTCGTCTGATCCAGCCTGCTTCTGCTCCTGCGCTCAAAGCTGGGGCCCACTGTGGCCCACAGTGGAGATGCAGGCCCCAGGGAAACCAGATCCCCAGAACCATCAAGGATGAGTCAGAACTCTTCAGAACCTAACTGCTGCAAACAGAACCTTTGCAACACATTTCTCTTGAGTTTCAGAACTTACAGAGCCAAACTGGATGAAGACCATGCCCTGGTGTGAGACTGAGGGGACCCCTGCTGTGAGACTGAGACAAAGAACCCCTGACTGCAGAGCTGCAAAACTGGATGAAACTCAAGCTTTCCAAATGGACATGGAAAAGGTTTGCAGGTCTGGCATGATTAGGGACAGAACAAGCAATGTGTCTTTTGATGATGCTAATCATATCGTGTGTTTACTGCTGAGTAAAGGCAACGCTAATTGATGCTAAAGAATGGACTGCATGCTACGCTATGCTACAGGAATATATGTTGAGCTGTTGCTAAAGCTTAGACAAGCTTTATTCACTAAGGATTTAAACACTGAAATAACATTAGTGTTTATGTGTTCCTCAAATGCTCATTACATTTCCATTACCAAGTATGACCAAGAGTCATTTAAGGGAAGCCTGATGTCTATTCGCTGCTAGCTACTTTAAAGAGGGTAAAGAATCATTTAACTAAAGGTTTTTGGTTCTTGATTAAGCAAATCATTTAATAAAACATTATTTGGCCAAATAATGTTTTATTCACCTCATGGATTTGCATTGTCAATTGGTCTGAAAACATTCCAATTTCTTTAAAATTAGTGAAAAGCTAATTTGATCACATTCCAAATTCTTCCAGATAAACTTTGGTTTCAAACACAGAATCCATCTTAAACTGTAATATGTTTTTCAACCGTTTTCCCCTTCCTCTTTGTACATAGTAGTTAGTTTAGTTTAGTTGAGTTTTACTAGTCTTAGTTGAGAGTGTTAAACTGAAATATGTTTGACTTGGAGCTGAATGATTTTTGTTAATAAAATCTTATATTTTGAACAGAAGTTGTGGTGAATTTATTCCATGTATGTGCAGAAATAACTGTTTGACCATGATTAGTGCTCGAATCACTCTTTCATTTATTGTTCTAACACACAGTTAGTAGGACTGTGTGTCATAAACAGTATATAACAGCTGAAATAATATCTGATTAAATAAGATATTTTACCACCCCTACAGGGGAGGGCAATAAACATCTTAAAGTATCAGAAACATAAATTCCCAGCGGGCTGGGAATAGAATTTAACTATAGAATCACAACACGTATAAAAAGAAAACAAATGACAGAGAGAGACTTGGACAGCAAAGACATTACAGGAGAATGAAGGTAGTAAACCAGAGCCACAAGCTAACTTTGGAGAGAGGTTCTCTTCAATTAACTCAGCTCAAAACTGTTGCAGTAGTTTTCAATGAGCGTTAAATTATGCCCCATATTATCCTAAAGCGATCATGGATCCGGACGCATGTGAAACACTTTCACCTAATGCAGTCAGCAGACCATTAGACTATATGTTTATCTCTATGTATTTTAGGTCATAATCCATTATCATTTAAGTTGCATATTTATTTTCAGGCAATCTGGTTTGCACAGGGGGGAACAGACCTCTCTAAACTTGAGGATGATTGTCTGATGTGTGTCTGTTTGTGACAGAGACTAGACTTTGATCTGCCCACTGCTTTCACACTTTGCCAAGAAGCTTGGGCAAAGATGGAAGCCATAAAAGACCACTTCAGCCATGCTTAAAAAAGAAAACAGAGTTTCCCCACATGCAGAGCACGCCTTCTGTTTCCGCTTTGTTTTGATTTGGCCACATTAAGGGAACACCCACAGAGCAAAGCAACACACCAAGGAATCTTTTCCTGCTCCATGTGGCAAGTTTGCATCTGTAGCTCACATTAGGTGCCACATGCATGCATAACACATGGATGTGTCTCTTGACAAGTGTAGGAACAAAGCTCACCTCCATTGGTTCGTCAATTTCTGCGTTTCCGGTAACCGTGTGAGGCAGCAGTTTCAGAACAAAAGCCTCTGCTTCTTCGGGTTGATCATCAGCCACGATGTTTAATGAAATTACAGCGGTCACCTGACCGGCAGAAAATGTTACAGTTCCAAACTGTGGCATCAAGTCACTCAACACTGGTGAGTGATCACTGGAGTTCCTGCTGATAGACCAGTTTGCAGACACTTCCCCGTAGCTTCCTCCATTTCGTACAATAACAATCCCATCAAATCTGGAGAAGAGATTATCTTAGATGTTATCACATTCGATTAAGTGCAAGCAGTCTTGTAAATTATGAGATATTTGAATTACTTTTGTGTTAGATCTTCATTGATGATGATTGGCTGAATGAGAGCAGCGCTGCTAATTGACAGGACGCCATAGGGTTTATCATTGGGCTCGATGGTCACCAGCACTGCATTGGGTGAAACTAGCACAGCGTCTCCTCTTATAGTTTCCTGTAACAGGACCACGTGGAAGGATTCTGCAATTTCTGGTACGTCATCATCGCTAATGTTGAAAAAAAGGCTGGCTTGGAAGACCAGTGGAGGGAATGTGATGGTCCTGACTGGTTGCATGTCCAGGAAATCCACACCTGGAGTAGCACTGCCAACTCCTTCACCACTTACCACCATATAATCCACAGACACCTACAAAAATAGAGGTTTTATATTAATTTAATTTAACAATAATGGGTTTTATAACTATTTAGAAAAGCACTTTCATCTTAAACATGACATGACCTAAAAATTAAAAAAGTCAGGAAGTTTAGATAGTACAACCTCAGTCTCAACAGATCCAATTAGTGGCCCATTCTCAGTCAGCCGGCCGCGGGTCACATTAAGGCTAATGACAGCGGCAGCTTCTGAGACAGCCATGACAGAGACGGAGAAGCGCAGGGGGCTGTCATTTTGCCGGATTCGTAGCTGAACACTGCTGGTGTTGAGGTTGAGAAGGGCTCCACCTGCCACACCTGTTAGCTTCACTGTAAATACTTCATCATTCTCAGGGATCTAATCAACAGAGAAAGACAAACACACATTTTAAAACTTCAAACATGACAAAAAGTTACATGGGAATAGATTTTTCTGCAAGGTATTTTTTTAATTCATAATTTTTTGGGGGAGTTTAGTTGGTGGATAAAAAAACTGGCAAAAGAAAAGAATAAATGTTTTCTTTCTTTTTATAGATAAATACCTAAAATAAAATTTTTATTATGATTCCTGTTAATGAAATCTAATGAAACCTATTGCCTCCAACAATTTCTTTTCACAAATTGAGTCCATGTGTTTGTCATTTAATTTCAGGTTGTGGATAAATGAGAAGTCAGAAAGTTTTAGGATTGATTCCATTTCCCCTCCCAATCTGCCCATGAGCAAATTACTTAACCTCAAGCTACCAAATCATCTGCATATCAGAGTATAAATGTGTGCATATGTTTGAGTTTAGCTTTGTTAATTTGGCTGCTGTGCAAAAGTGCTCTAATAAATAGCATGGTAGGGTTTTGAAAGTGAGGTCAGAACCTTTACAGTATATTAACCTCTTAGCTTTGCCGTGAAGGCCTTGAAGGTTAGAGAACATCAATGAAGGAACAGCATTATGAAGAAACAAACAAGCCTCAAAGGATGAGTATAACGCTTTGGAGAGGAATATTCCAAAATTTTTAACAATTCATGGTTTAAAGTTAGATCCAATATCACTTGACTAACATTATCACTGAAATCCTGGAGCAACAACTAGATCATCCAAGAATCTGTGAGAATACTAGAAAATACATGTTCACACACATGCCTCATCCAGACTGAGTTAGAGGTTTCTTGCATAGAAGGATCATCTACAGAGCTGAGTGACATACCCTAAAAGGATTGTTTAGATTTATTTTTACTGTATTATGCATTGCTTCATGTTAGGCAGAGAGATGTAACAAAAAAGAAAAGAACAATTTTTGAATTGGACTATTAGTGCTGCTGATTGATACCTGATCATCCTGAATGTGGATACTGAATGTCACTGCAGCTTGTCCTACAGGAATGATGATGCTGCCTCTGTCTGGATCGAGATCTTCAATGGCAGGATTGGGACCACCAGAGATCTAGAATAACAAGTTTAAAATAAAAAAGGCGATATTTAGTCTTCCACGGGCAATCTGCATGGATTATTTATTTTGGGGGAAAATATATTTTTAAATGTGCTCCACTGTCTTCCTACCTCATAGGTTACAGTGACCGTTCCATATGTTCCTTTTTCTCTAATTAGGGTGAAAGGCACATTCCTTTGTCTGGATTCATCAACAACAATCTCTGCAGTCTGATAAGGGGAAAAAAAGAACCAGAGTCACATCAGCTTAAGCAGACTTCAGAGGAGTTAAAGAATAAACTGATGTAACCAAATTGTGTGTAAACGGCTTTAAGCTTCAGGTCTAACATTCATATCATGTGAAAGGTTCTGAAAAAATGGCGAATTGGAAATAAACAATGGAGTTCTTACCGAGTTAAAGCCAATTATTCCAAAGGCATTGTCATTAGACAAAATGGTGATTGTTGCCTTGTTTGGTGTTCCTAGGATTACACCATTAGAGGAACTCTGGAAAAGAAATTCAAATTGGTTACTTACAACTGGGGGAATTTATGTCAATGCTCTTTAACATTAATTCTCCTAAAACTTAAAATGCTAGGTCAATGAGAAAAGGTTGGAGTATCCTTTTTCTCTTATCTGCTGTCTTTGCTTCATTCCTGTGCACCCACTGAGTATCCCTGGGGAGACGGCACAAAGGCAGGAAGTGCTGGTTTCTGCCTCAGCTGCTCAGTCAGGTTATCTCTCTGCAGGGTATCTCTTTAGGATTTGTGCTGTGCTCTGTCAATTGGCACTAAACCCAGACAAACCTAACGTTCAGCATGCTTAAAATTACATAAGAATTTTATAAGCCTTAAGATGCAAGTTTAAAAACACGTGTCAAAACTTTCTATGTTATATAAAAAGTATATAGTCTAGTTGGGGGAGCTCAAAATGATTTTTTACTAGTAAACTTCTTTTCTGTTCAAAAAGTTAGAATAGGGCCAATAAAAATGGATTTACTGTAACAGAAATGCTTTGGTAGGTTTATGGTAAAGTCTATGTATTGATACAGCTGTCTAGCAAACATTCACTGACATACTCTACAATCAGGACCAACCACAAAATAGGAAGTTTTCTGCTTACAGAGCATATTGTTGGAAAATTGAGTAGAAGGATTTTTTTATACATAAAAGGTACACAGGCTATAGGAAAAACTGTAGCCAGTGATCCTGAATAAAAATCTATTAAGAGTTTGATGGAGATTCACAAAATATGGACTGTGGCTGAAGTCACTGGTTCAATAGTTGTTACAGATGTATTCAGTCAGGACATGGGCTAAAACTTCCAGATTTAGTGAGTTAAATGATTTGTGAACCAGATATTTCAGAAGAATCTTAACTTGGTGAAGGTTAAAAAAAAAAAAAAAAAAAAAAGACTGGACTACTGCCCAATTAACCAAAGGTTAAAATTTAGAAATACATTTTGGATAAAAGTCTGGATAACAAACAAAACTAGAGGAAGGTCACAAAGGCACAGAATCCAAGTTGTTGAAGACAAGTCTGAAGTTTCTGCAATCTGATAATTTCAGGAGCTTCTGTTTGGCTTTTAACTTCCAACCTGTTCTGCGTCAACCCCATTTAGTACAATATTGTCTGTTCAAACAGATCTAGCTGTCAGGAATGATGGATGAAACCCAATCACCCCTTTATTTCTCACTTTTGCTTGATCTATGACACCCATGGTGGTACACATTAATTCTCCTGACAGCCCATCAGTAAGATGACCAGGCAAGCATTTGGCTAGAGCTTTGTCTCCGCTTTAGTGTAAACAGAGTGGGCCTCATCTGGTCTTTGACTCTGCTAACAGCCAAAATGTCGACTTTAGCCACTGGATTTAAAAGATATTAAAATTAAATAATAAAAGAAGGGTTTCATCCTTCCTGCTGTTCAATTCTGCAATTATACATGCTAATTGATTTATTACATTTACAATAAGTTATGCCTATTACATTTATTTTGGGGTTTTTAACGGTTGGGGGATGACAGCAAGACAAAGCCCTCCCCAACTCATCAATCAAACTCGACAGCCAAAGTCTGATTGAAACCATGGAGATCGTCTCTAGGAGAAGGCATTCGATAATCTGATGAGACCTTGCTGTGTTTAATGCTAGAAAATATTTACAGCTTTCTTATTAAAGCTCAGTTATAAAAAATATATATATTTTTCAAAGTGATCAATCAAAGTGATGTTAAATCTCAGCGTAACCATCCGCATATTTTACTTTTAGGGAGGAGTTTAGGAGGATTAATATGTAATGATTAATATGTAGGGATTTTCTTCAGGGGGTGTTTTATAATTTTACGGGTGACCTTGCTTATTTCTCTTTTTCTATGGGTGCTTTCAATTTCTGTCAGCTTTCTACATGAGCATACTGAGCTGATTATGGATAAGGGCTGCCCAGTGGTGCAGCTTGCAGCAAGAAAGTTCCAGGTTTGATTTTCGGTTTAGGTACCAGATCTGCTCGGGTCCTGCGCATGCCAGTGACGTTGCACTATAAGATTGGCTGAATGTTGCACCATGACGTAAAACATTGTTGTTGCCCACACAATGATAACAACATAATGCCGTGTCCGTGTGCTGAGTTGGGAGCATCTGTACTGTTAGCCTGAATAATGGCTGATGAAGTTTTACCTGATCAATAACAAAACTGAAAAAAATATGTTTATGGTGAACAAAGTATCTTCAAAACCATGGTAATAAAGGGGGAGAGCTGGGTAGCGCTGTGACTAAATGTGCTCAGTACAGTAGCTAATAGGTAAGCCTGTTTTAAATCGCTCAGGTAGATATATTAAGCTACACTACTTTAAACTTTGTGTCAACAACAATCGTTCGTTTTCTACAAGTAGAATAACTTGTTTACTTGGTCTAAAATCACTACGAAAGTCATTTTTTAAGATGTTCCATGTGTTGCCCCCTGCCATCAGATAAGCTGAGACTTTCTTTGTCTCCTTGTTAGATGGCAGAGCTCAGCCTGCCTTAGAGGGCAGTACTTTCCTTCAAGACTGAAAATGATAGTTTTCAGCCTTCGGCTACTTTAGATTGCCGAAGAAATGTAAAATAATAGCAAATATGGGTAATAAGATGTTGAGACTCCGGAAAAGATTAGATTCTTAAGAAACGGGTGCTATACAGTTTGTCTGAGTGGCGTTGCCATATGATGACATCATAAGAAAGGACAGGGCCCCAAGAAGATCTGACCATCCGAGCAGATGTGGTAGCTACACTGGCCCGGGGTCTTTCTGCATGGAGTTTGCATGTTCTCCCCGTGCGTGTGTGAGTTCTCTCTAGGGACTCCGGCTTGCTTCCATAGTCCAGGAACAAAATTGCTAGGTTAATTGTCATCTCCAAATTGTCCTTAGGTGTGAGTGTGTCTGTGTGTTTTTGCATGTCTTAGTGATGCCCTGGACCCATCATCATCCTGACAGAATAAGCAGGAGAAGATGGATGGATGGTTTATAGATAAAAAAGAATGCAAAGTACAGATCTCTGTCTCATAGGGGTTTGAAAAATAATTATGTCATATTTCAACATATTTTTACACACTGGTTGTAAATTTTGATATCTGCAAAAATGTTTCACAAAATATACAGAAATTATGTTCATGGGACTGTTTGCAATACATGGAGCTTTGATTCTTTGATGGTTATTTGGTCCACATATATATATATATATATATATATATATATATATATATATATATATATATATATATATATATATATATATAATTAACACTTCATAAATACTGTAAACACATTTTATTTCACCTGTAGTTTAAGGTTGAAGGTAAATGTCTCATCCGCTTCAGGAAGGTCATCATCTTTCACAGCAATGAAAATGGTCTTACTGGACTCAGAGGACAGAAGAAAGGCTGCAGCATTGATAGCTTCAAAGTCCCCAGTGTCGACACCCTCTAGCTGAAATACAAATATCCAAAGGAAAAGAAACAAGTTACTATTTTTAAATCAAATTTAAGGTATCAAATTCACACATATATGTTTAAACTTTTTTCTAAAGTGTGAAAAAGAGAGAAACCGGGTCAACAAAATGATGTAAACAAAGTGAAATAAAGAATCAGAGACAGGGAAAACCATACGGATATGAATGGACATTAAATATTTTAATGTAAAACTTAAAAAATCTATATAAAAAATTATTAATATTATTCATAAAATGTAAAGATATGGTTCCATAGCTACAGAAATTATTCTTCATACTAGAAATAATGCTTAAAATGCTTTTAATTACATTGCAAGGAAAGAATCACTGAAAAAAAAGGCCAAATACTGTATTAAAACACAAAAGGGCCTCACGTCATTCCTATGTACAGAATTTGTTTTTGACTTTGTGGTATTTTACACTATAAGAGTTAAGATACAGCATATATTAAAGATACTATTCAAATTTTAAACATTTGAAAAAAGAAAAAAATGTATAAATACTCCTAGGGATGGGAATCGAAAACCGATTCCTGTTCAGAACTGGTTCTGTCTGTTCAAAATCCATGGCACCGTTTGCAGCTCGCTTAATGATTCTCTTCATGGTTCCAGGCAGCTCCAGAGCCTAGCCCTGGGCAGCACGACTTACGTCACGTTTTTTACGCAAGTTACACACATGGCATTCAGTAAGCATGTACGACGTGACCAGGCGTAGGTCTAGAAAAGCAAAACAAAAAAAAATGCAGTACCATCGGGTTAAGCGATAGAAAGTTAGGCTTCATTTTAAGGAAGAGAAAGATGGCAACAAGGCGCTTTGCAATCATTACAAAGTGGCGATTTCATCCGCGGGAGGAAACATCCAACATGCAGAAACACCTGCACACACAACATGACATACATTTTAACGAATGTCGTGTTTTTGATGCTTCCGGACAGAAGCTAAAGTTACAACCAGCATGGAAGGCAACTCTGGTGGTAAGTGGCTGGTTTTATATCACTGGCTGTGCTTAATGTGGTTCCTAGTAAATCATATGCCATTTCCTGAACCAGTCCTAAACCAGTTTCCTACCTCTCTTTGGGGTTATTAAACCTGCTACAAAGTTGCTCCGCAGTTAGGGGAGCGAGAGAAAGGTGTTGCTTGTTTATTTAAATCAGGGGGAGAAGAGTTTATTTCCCGAAAATTGTACAGTAATGTTTTTTTAATTAAACGGATGCCTTCTCCACTAGCTTTAGATGACTGTAGCCTGGCTGGCTCTGAGGCTGGCAGCTCCAGTTCACTGCCATCTGTTTTCGCCGAGGCAGGCAGAAATAGAATGTCCCAGGCGAAGGTAGACGACTGTCACCGTGCAATTACAAAGTTTATTGTTTCACAAGATCGATAAGAGAATCGATAAGGAATCGAATCGTTTCACAGAATCGATAAGGGAATCGGAATCGTGAAAATCTTATAATATCCCAACCCTAAATATTCCTAACCCACACAGTTGTGTGCATGTCACAAAAATAGAGTGTAGGGAAATGCAGGAATCCCTCCTCAATCTACGTTACACAGCTGCCATAGTTGTACAGAAGCAGAGAAGCTGAAAATGAATCTCCTCCATGTGGTTAAAATAAATCCCCGAAAGATTTCTTGGCTAGAATTTCTGCAAAATTATACTGTTTGCTTGAAAATAAGCTTATGTCTGACTGAGATGTAAAGAAATAGGTCCTAGTAGCTGTGAGGAAATGATCAGAAGATAAATCTGAGTAAGGACAGCTTGAGTAAAATGAAAGAAAACTTTAATTTGGAAGTAAAACAATTAAATGTGAGATTCTAAAATAAAACAAAGAGAATAATCTAAACTTACAAGAACCAAAGCAGTCACGTTGATTGGGTCTCCCACTCTCTCTACAACCAGTCTGACCACAGCTGTGCTGGTTTCATTGACAACAAATTCTGTTTGCCCCAAGAAGCGCAGCGTGGCTGATTCACACGTGGTGCCAGGGATGGACAGAGCCAGAATCAACCCAGCTATCAGGAGGACAGGGAGCATTCCTGCAAAAAGAGGGAACGTTTGAAACAAACAGAAACAGTAAATGCATGTATATGTTGAGACACAACAGTGAAATATTTTCTCCTTGCAATTTGAAAAATGTCTTTTTGCCTCCAAACAAAATGTATATAAATATTCAAAATATTTCATCTGCAGTTGGTAGCAGCTGACCACATGTGCGTTTTTGTTATACAGACTAGCATACCTTTAGGCGTACTGCATACCTGATTGAAAAACAGTAATATTCTATTAATCTAAAATGAATCTATGTTCAATCACTGATGAAGGACAGGTATTATCATTTTTACTACTTTACTCTTAGATTGTGTTCATGCTTGTAGCGTGTAATAGTTGTGTTCGTTTTCATATTAAAAAATAGCAAAATATGAATGACAAAAAAAAAAGCAAAAAACAATTCCTCCCCTTGGACGCCAACATGTGCTAAAGTGCCCTCTAGAGTGGTGAGGATGTGCTAAATGTGCTTTTTTTTTTTTCTTCTCCCCTGCCCTAAAAAACTCTATTCAATGCAACAGAAAGCAGGTGAAAGTTGCAAAAGAGCAAAAAACACTATATTTAAAACAAATGATTTTCAAAAAAACGAACTTAAATTTAAGTCTGTATGCAGAAAATCTGCTACATGTTTTATGCAGTAAGGGGGTTAGGAGAAGTATTGTCTAAGAGCAGTAGCCTGGAGACATAACAAATTGATACCAGTTGGGGGTATTTAATTATAATCTTTAACAAGCCCAAATTACTAGTAATTCAATACAGGTTCTGACCAGCATGTGTTATAGGCAGCAATACTCCAATATGTCTGAGCACCTGCCATCACTGTGAATGATGTTTGAATAGTGTCAATTGGGAAGATAAAACATCCACAAGAACATTTCATTCTGAAGATACATCTGTTTTAACATCCAAACTATGTAAAAGTTTATGCGGTTAGGTTTCTCACAACATGTTGTTTTGGCACTAAATTGCTTCATAAAGCTAATGCTACACATGTGTTGCACTGCAGAGGAAGCTAAAATGTTCAAACCACATCTACAGTAAAACATTCTTTCATCTGGCTCATAAACAGAAAAATCAATGTGGCTTATTATCATGCCTAAACATGGTGGGGGGACATTTGGGGAGAGCAGGTTTTGCATTGAGATACATAAAAAATACAAAGAATTTCTTCTGACATAAACTTCTTCTTTCAAACAACCCCCTTGTACACCTTAGTCTGACTGCTGACTCTTTTAAAATTGACCTATAATTTACCATCAAATAATATTTTTTTCTTAAGAGCAATATGTTTTCTACTAACAACCCAAGATGGCAACAGACTTGAAGGTGTCATAGTAACACTTTGTGATAAAGCTTATAGTTACAGTGGTTAAGGTTATCCTGAGCTATCTATAGCTATATAATTGACAAGATGGCGGCGCGTGAACAACGCGAGGCTCGGCGTCTCTCCATAATCCGCTATTTAGTAGTTTTCTACCTGGTTTTCACCGGACTTAGTGTTTATATTCATTTACAGCCTCAATCACTGTTCATTGCTGATTACTATCAATGCTGTTTATACTGTTTAACATACATTTTATAGTCTATTTATACATACCCTCTGTACACTTGTAAATGCATATTTATATCCTGTATAGCACTTCTGGATAGATGCTAACTGCATTTCGTTGCTTGTACTTGTGACAGTGCAATGACAATAAAGTTGAATTCTATTCTAATTCTATTCTATTCTATAATTAGGTTGCTATAGACTTAGAATGCTGGAGGACATAGCCACCTTTTTTCATCATTCTGCTTCATTCAATCTCTAATGTTAAGCTCTCTGCTTTTTCTCATCACAGCAACTTAATTTGGTCGGTTTCTGTTTGTCTGTGATGTTATCCAGGAGAGGTTTAGCAGCTGTGCTGCTCCCATCAATGCCTTTGTGGATGTTGAAACTTGGCCTGTTTTCAATATGTTCCTGTTTCTCTAACTATGACTAACTGTATGTGCTCTCTTTCATCCTCTGACATAGGAGGGCTCATCTTCCTGGCTGTCTGTGGAGCTGGTTGACAGTTGCCTTTTGTATCTCTGCTTCTTTTTCGATGTCTGCTTTGTCTCATTGAAGCCCAGTCATACTCGGCAGATGGTCACTCACACTGAGCCTGGATCTGCTGGAGGTTTCTTCCTGTTAAAAGGGAGTTTTCCTCTCCACTGTAGCAACAAGCAAACAATTGTGAGGGATTGCCTTTGACTCATTGAGAATGCAATCAACTGGATATAAAACTTTGAACCAATCTGACTGTATGATCTTGTTGAATTGTCTCTGTAAAGTGCCTTGACATGACTTGGTTTTAGAATTGGTGCTATATAAATATGTGAATTTAATTGAATTAAATTCACAGACGGTACACCATTAGCCATATACACAAGTGTGTATCGAGTTTTGAGGATTTCACCAAAGGCTCTTTTTGTATCAATAAATTGTGAGTTAAAACATGCATATATGTTTTGAGAAACAACAGCAAGCAATATTAAGGTTTTACATCATCTAAAATTTCATATACTGTATGTTTAAAGCATTTGTTTTTGAATTTCTTCCTTTGTCACATTCATTCAGTGTCATTTCTCACGTTGTCACCTCTCAACCCTCTCCAAGGATTGCTGCTCACTCATCTTTCCATTGACTTTTCTCTCCTCTGTCATCTCCTTCTTAAGTCCCTCAGCCAGTATAATCCTAGAGCAGGATGGAGCCCCAGAGGCAGTTGTCATGGTTAACACAAAAAAACATCCCAGCATGACATGCGGGGTGGACCCAGCTTAAAGTTAAATGGACTCACAATCGTTCCTCTTCCTTCCTGCCTCTAACCCATCCCATTCATAATGCACACCACACAGTTTCACCATCAGCAAGAACACGAGATCATTTAAAGACGATTCGTTCTTAATTACAAGGTTTACCATCAGCATCACCATCTAGGGTTGATGAAGTCATGGTTGCTGGGTTCTTTTTTTTTTAAATACAAAAGTATTTAGGGAAAATAAATGCTTAAAATATTCAATGATTCAAACTTTCCATTACAGCTGTACCGAATCCAACTTAGCCTTAGTTTCGAAGATTGTTTGATGAAAAGGAATCAACATTAGATGAATAACATGTAAATATTAACCATTGGGAGTCTCAATAACACAGATGTTTTGGTTGTGACAAGGAAAGCATTTCACATGAGTGTCTGCAATTTTTTGGCTGAGCTGAAGTCAAGGGTGTATGTACATGTGCACGTGTGTCACACATGCCAGCTACAGCACTGAAGAGATTGCTGGAAAATCCATCAAAAAAGGATTTAGACTGCTGGTAAGTGGGGATGGGCAAAGGGTTAGGAGAACAGAGGTTAGTGTGTAGTTGGACAAAAAGAAGCTGGGGTTTAGTAAATCCTGTTACTTGCCCCCTTTGTCCGATTTGTGGGACCGAGAAACTTTCTCAATCACACGCTTGATTGAAATGCTACAAACTCTTGTTTTTAAATCTGCTTATTCAAAGCCTCCCCTAACTGGTTTGTAATGGCAATGTATCAACAAAGTTCTATCCCAGAAAACTAACATTTTCAAAAGCTCTCTTTTGCTTTTAGCTTTTGAATCAATGTTTGGATCTTCTTTGGATCTTTGGATTTTAAGGGAAAAACATTATGATAGAAAAAAACATAAAAGCCTCACCATCAAAAAAACAACCCAAATACCTTTCATTATTTAGAACATCTCCGTGATGGATGGTAGCAAGCATGCAGCACTCTAACCTCCCACAAAACTACGCCAAAACAGAGAGGGGATCCTTTATGCATCCAATGGCTGAGATTACTGAACTTCCTTCATAGGGTTTGATACAAAGCAGATGCTGTATAGATGGCACAGGTTTGTTTTAGAAGCGTTGTGGCAGTTTTTGTGCTCAAGTCATGCATTTTGCCAACCCTGACCCCAGGGATCAGAGAGGCCCCAAGGACCTGTCTGTCACAGCTAAAGGCGGCATGGAGCGCCTGGCGCAGACCTCTGACATTGATAAAACTGAGAGTCAGAGTTCATGTAGAGAGGCTCTCACGCACTCAAACACACACACTTTACATCAGCAAAATATAGATGGAGCTTAAGTGCAGCCACAATAAGCAGATGCAGCTTTTGTTTAATTCTGTACAGAGCAAAAGTACCCAATAATATCTCAACTTGACTACTTAAGGTCTTTGTTGATAAAATCAAAAAATAAGTCACCACTGTCACAGCTGCAAGTGTTATACTTCTATATAAATGTTTGATATTCCTTCTTTGCAAAACAGCTCAAACTCAGCCAAACTGTATAGTCGCTCTTGCTATCTCTTTATGGAGATTTTTATGCTGGAATTTGAACTTGCACCCAAGTCTTAGATGCTTGTAGATGCTTTCTTACAATATTTTTGCTGAATTTAACTCCATTCACCTTCCCAACGTCTCTGACAAGCTTAGACCCATCTACACACTATGTTGCCAACGCTATCCTAACCATTGGAGGGTGTGATCAAGGTGATCAGCAATGTTGGTTCTTCACCTCACAGAGCATTTTGCAAGTAGGCCAGAAATTTAGGAGACAAAAAGTCATCTGAATGGCCCAACTCCATCCATGTCTTTGTTTTGTCACTTACATTGTGCATGGTAAGATTCAAATCTTATGACTTTATTTTAAGTATGGCTGGTTTCTTTCCTCTCGCCATTAGGTAATGGTTGCTATATTTCATCCTGAGACACCAAATAAACTATCTGAACAACTAAATACACTGTTAACATTGGACATCATCCTATCACTGGCACAAAATTTGTTCTTGTCCTCAGACAGCTGTCATCTTCTTGTTATATGTTAATAAAATCTGATCTGCACAGATTTTTCTTTCTTTACTAAATGCACTTTAAACTACAAGCCTCTTTATAAAACACAATAAAACAGCTCCTTATTTTATTCTACAAACCAGTGATACATTGGGGCCATTTC